CACTCGCCCCGCCCTCCCGGCTCAGGCCTAGTCACGCCCCATCCACTCGCAGCGCCCAGGCCCCACCCCCCACTACTCTCCCGGCCTGCTCAGGTCTCATGAGAACGGTTTTATGGAAGACCTGGACAAGACGTGGGTGAGGTACCAGGAGTGTGACTCGCGCAGCAATGCCCCTGCCACTCTCACCTTTGAGAACATGGCAGGTGAGTCTTCCCTCTCTGCCTTAACGCCCTGATGACACCAGGTGGGTTCTGCGGGGCCCTGCGGCCCGCTTAGCCAGCAGCTGAGGCGCTGGGTCCTGGCCCACAGGGGTCTTCATGCTGGTGGCTGGGGGCATCGTGGCTGGAATTTTCCTGATCTTCATCGAAATTGCCTACAAGCGGCACAAGGACGCCCGCCGGAAGCAGATGCAGCTCGCCTTTGCCGCGGTGAACGTGTGGAGAAAGAACCTGCAGGTAGGGAGGGCCGCCCTGCGAGGCCCGTGCCCACGGCCCGACCTGGCCCCGCTCCTCCTCCATCCCCACAGGCCGAAGCGCTGGCCCTGGCTCCCGGAGCCCATGTGAGCCGGACTGGAGCTAGGAGCCATGGCCACGGGCAGCGTCAGTGGGGAACCACCTGCAGGTGGCTGCCCACTGCCAAGCCAGGTGGAGGGAGGCCACGCACCCTGCCCCAGGCCTCCGCCTGGCCCCTCTGTCTCCAGAGTCGCCCTCCGGCGCCCATTCCATAGGAAGGCAAACTGAGGCAGGGTAAGACAGGGACCCCCCTGGGAGAAGCACGTGAGTCTCAGACGCATTCTGCCCTCGCCGCCCCCACACTCCTCCTCAGTGACCTCTGGGGTCCCCTTCCCACTGCCCCGCTGTGTCCCGTGCTGCAAAACTCCGGTCTGAAGTGGTCCGGCTGGCCCCGCCTGGCACCTCTGACCGTGTCCGGGGGAACTTGCTGCCAGCAGGGCACAGGCTGCACAAGGGGCAGCCACAGTGGGGTCTGTGGGGTCTGTGCAGGCCCCTGGCTCCTGCCCTGTGGTCCAAGCCCAGATTGCTGCGTCTCTTCTCTTCCTCTGGGCGCCTCCCCAGAGCCTGCATCCTGGGAAGAAGCTCGCAGTGCAGAGGGGGGGGGCCTTGGGGGGACGGGTTGCTGGAGTCCCCCCACCTCTCATCTGCCCAACTCTTGCTCTTGGGACCTGGTCGCTGCTCTCACTGGCGGGCACAGGGTCATCCTGGCCATCAGACCCAAGGCCAGGGTCCCAGGAGCTGCCTCTACCTGTCGCTCTAATTCATCTGGACACCCACCTCTGGCCCCTCGGCCCCTCCTGAATCTCGGTGTGTCCCTCAGGGGTCAGCATGGCTGGCAGGCCCGAAGGGCGACTCCTCCGGTGCTTGGGGGGGACCCTCCTCCTTGGGACACCTGTAAACCAGGGCCACCCAAGAGCCAGGGAGCCGAGTGGACCTCCCAGGAAGAGAGCCAGACGGGACCCCCCCAAGCCCAGCCCCAGCACGAGCAAGGTCAGACCCGACCCGACCCGGAGCCGAGGCTGCCTGCGTGCGTCCGGCGGCCCAGCGCAGGGAGGCAGGCAGGAGCGAGGGCCCGAGTGGCGGCCAGGCCGGGCAGCGGCCCCCAAGCAGCAGGCGAGGGCAGGTGTGGCCGTGCCCCTTAGCTGTCTAATCACTTATACATATTCATTTTAGGATAGAAAGAGTGGTAGAGCAGAGCCCGACCCTAAAAAGAAAGCCACATTTAGGGCTATCACCTCCACCCTGGCTTCCAGCTTCAAGAGACGTAGGTCCTCCAAAGACACGGTAAGGGGAAGAACGCCTGGCCCCCGTCTCCGACTCTTCTCTCGCTCTCCGTGTCTGTGTCCCGTGCATCAGGCGTGCCCTCCCCCACCATCCCACCCCACCGCACCTGCCCGCCGTGGCCTCTGCCCTCATCTCGACTCGCCCCGCGCACTAGGTCTCCTCTCTCCGGCTCCGGGCCGCTCTCCGACGGGCCCTCACCAGGCCCCTCTCCCCGTGTGTCTCTGCGTCAGTCCGCCCCGCCCATGCCATGACGCCATGCGCCATCCTGAAGCTGTGTCATGTTGTCGGTCAGCCAGTCAGCCTCACCGCTCGGGCCGTGCTCAGGGACCCCGGGACCCCGGGGCCGCCCGGCCGGGGCTCCTCACACGTCGGGAGGCCCCGCCACCTCACTGCTCCGTCAGTTCTCAGCCTCTCCGGGTCGGGCCCGCTGCCCTCTCTCCCTCCCCGCGGAGTCCATGGAGAGGGGTGGCTGTGACGTCCCATCCGTCCATCTGTCTGGCTGCCGGCCCGCCACCCAGACACCTGTCTCGCGTGTCTCACCAGAGCCATGCCTGTTGCACCCCTTCCATGTGGTCTCTGTGTGGGCCGGGGCTGGGGACCGGGCCTGGCTCCATCTGGGTGGACGGTTGGGGCCTGGACTTGGAACAGGCCCCCAGCCACCGGGGACTGTCAGGCGGGGAGTGGATGGGACCAGAGGGGGCAGCTCCCACCCCAGGCTGAGCAGGGCCCTGCAGGAGGTGTGCCAGCAACCCCCGCCCCCCCCCCCCCGGGGATTCTGAGGATGGGTGGGTTCGGCCTGCAGAGCTTAGAGCCTGGAGCCTCCCAGACAGAGGCCCCGGGAGGGGATGCCTGCTCGGGGGAGACCCGCCCCTCAGCCCCACCCCACAGGACCACAGCACAGCCAGGCCTTCCCCCTGAGCGACCTGCCTTGGGCAGCTTGTCGCTGCAGCTGGCTGTGCTGCTGGAACCAGAAGCCCTGAGGCAGACCCAGCCTTGCCAGGGGCACCCCAGTCTCAGGAGGGGCGGGGCCACCCAGAGCCAGCACAGCCAGCCCTTGGGCCCCCAGATGCCCTGCAGCCCTGGGGCAGATTTGGCCCTGACCCCATGGGAGCCGAGCTCCAAGGTGGAAGTGGGTTTGCAGCCCTCCCCCACCAGTGCTTGGGAAGAAGGGAAGACCCCCAGGACACAGCCAGAGCAATCTGAAGTCAAGGTGAAGCCACCAGGGTGCTCCAGGCGAGGACCATGAGGCTTGGCTAGCTCCTCTTCATGAGAGGTTCTGGGCACCAGGACAGTAGGGGACAGTGAGGGTCAGTGGGGCTGGAGCACAGGCTGGGCCACCCAAGCCCAGGAAATGGGGGAGGGTCTGAGGCAGGGACACCACCCAGGATGCAGGAAGAGGGGTGCAGGTGTCCCCAGCAGACAGTGCTTTCGGGCAGGCACCTGCAAGGAGGCACACAGAAGTCCCGCAGGCAGTGGCCCTCTTCCTGGCGTGGCACTGAGTCCCCCTGCCGCCCCGCTCCCCCCTGTAGCAGACAGGCACGCCCCTTAATGGGTTCAGGCGCAGTTCAGAAACTCTCACAGTGCCCTTGTGGGGACACACCCCCACTGGAGGCCTTGCCCGAGCCTCCCTGGGCCCCAGGCACTGTCCCCAGGCCAGCCCTGGGACTGGCTGGCCCTTCCCTGCGGGGTGACTGGGGGCTCTGCCGTCTGGGGGGTTGGGTGGGGGAGGGCAGCCCGGCTCCCACCCTGGTTCAGGCCGGGCACCCGCTCGGAGGGAGGCCTGGGTGGGGGGGGCTCTGTCGGGATGGGTGGGGTCGGTCTGGCTGCTGAGATCCTCTGCCCCTGTCCTGTGGCCGGTCCGGGCCAGGGTGGCACTGGGCGCTCAGGGCTGGGGTCCCTGGCGGCCAGCGGGGCCTGCGGGTATTGATTGTTGGTTCTCATTTATAGAGCACCGGGGGTGGACGCGGCGCTTTGCAAAACCAAAAAGACACAGTGCTGCCGCGACGCGCTATTGAGAGGGAGGAGGGCCAGCTGCAGATGTGTGCCCGTCATAGGGAGAGCTGAGACGCCCTGCTCTGCCCCCCTCCCCCGCAGACAGACAGACAGACGGACGGGACAGCGGCCTGGCCCACGCAGAGCCCCGGAGCACGACGGGGTCAGGGGGAGGAGCGCCCCCCAGCCTCCCCCAGGCCGCGCCCGCCCGCCCGCCGCTCGGCCGGCTGGCCGGCCCACCCGCCCCGGCCCCGCGTGCGCCCCTGAGCGTCGGGCTAACGGGCCGCCTTGTCTGTGTATTTCTATTTTGCAGCAGTACCATCCCACTGATATCACGGGCCCGCTCAACCTCTCAGATCCCTCGGTCAGCACCGTGGTGTGAGGCCCCCGGAGGCGCCCACCTGCCCAGTTAGCCCGGCCAAGGACACTGATGGGTCCTGCTGCTCGGGAAGGCCTGAGGGAAGCCCACCGGCCCGAGACTGCCCACCCTGGGCCTCCCGTCCATTCGTCTGCCCTGCTGCCTGGTGGGCGGCCCCTGCTGGACCCAGGCGCGAACCAGAGCGGCTGGGGACAGGCCGGAGCTGAGCTGGCTGGGCAGGGCCACAGGGCGCCCCGGCAGAGGCAGGGCCCTGGGGTCTCTGAGAGTGGGGGGAGGGGCTTGGAGCAGAGACTGAAGCCCCATCCTTCCCCAGCCACCACCAGAGCCACAGTGGGGGGGGGGGGGCCTGCGGCCCCAGGGGGCTGAGTCGCCCCTGCTGCAGAGCCCACTCCTAGCAGCCTGTGCTCCACCCTCTCTCCTGTTCTTGCCCTTCCCTTCCTCCTCTCAGTCCCTTTCGCGGAACCAACCCTGCCCTCCACCCGACCGCAGACCCTGACCCCGGCACTGGCAGCCGCTCCACAGGAGCTCCATGGCCTCCCAGCTGCCTCCCCGCTTTTCCTCCAGACTCCGACCGAGCCTCCTCTTTGCCTCCTCTGGCATGCAGCCCAGGATGGGCTTCCCCAGGCACTGGCTCCGGACTGTCCTCAGCCCGCCCGCCACCTTGTACAGGCCTAGCCCGTCCTGTGTCCGAGCGCGTGCCTTCCCTCGCGGCCCGTGCGCGGCTGCGCGCTGACCCACCGCCCCAGAAGCTGGAAGCGCACCGCACCGCTCCCTGACCCAGTGTGTGCAGTGGTGATGCCTAAAAGAATGTCACGAAAAGTCGGTCTGTGTCGCTTGTTGATGCCTGCAGGGAGTGTGAAGGAGGGCAGGGAATGGGGGGAATATTCGAGGGCAGCAGCGGCCCACTCAGACTTGGGCGGTGGCAGCGGGGCTCCCAGGTTCCGCAGGGGAGGCCTTGCGGAGGCCAAGGTTCAGAGGCCGTCTCCGCGGGCAGCAGGCGGCGGCGCGTTGGCGGCGCGCGCGCCAGGCGGTGTGCACCGAGCCCAAAGCCAGGCAGGTGGCCAGACTGGCGAGGAAGGAGACTGGCCCCAGCGTATAGACTACGACCCGGTCCCACGGGGCGAGTGGCTGCACGCAGTGGTGGAAGGCGGTTTCGGGGAAGGCGGTCAAGAGGCTGAGCGTCTGGAGCCCCGGCGACACGCAGAGCAACATCTCGGCCTCTGCAGGACAGGGGCTCGGCGTCAAGCAGCGGCGAGGCAGCGGTAGTAACCGCCCCGCACCACCTGCGCCCCGAAGGCTCACCTGGCGCGGGCTGCGGGTGCCTGCGCAGCCAGGCGCAGAGTGGGCGTAGAGCGCAGCCGCAGGCCCAGGGGTTGCCGCGCAGACGCAGAGAGTTGAGGGCCGGAAGGCCGGCCAGTACCCCGGGCGCGAGCGCAGTCAGCTCGTTGTCCTGCAGGCTGAGCGCACGCAGCAGCGGGAGCGCGCCCAGCGCCGCGGGCTCCAAGCGCGCCAACCGGTTGTCTGCTAGCGAGAGTTTGCACAGCGCGCGCAGGGACGCGAAGGTGCCAGCGGCCAGTGCCTCCAGCTGGTTGGCACTGAGATCGAGCTCCTGCAGTGCGCCCAGACCCCAAAAGGCCCGAGCGTGCACCCAGCGCAGCCCGTTCTCGCGTAGATCCAGGCGCAGCAGCCCGCCAGTGCCCACGAAAGCTCCGGGTGGCAGCGCGCGGACACGGTTGTGATCCAGCAACAGCGCGCGTACGCTCGGGCTCAAGCCCGCGGGCACCGCGGGCAACGCACGTCCGGAGCAGTTGACCTGGCCGCCGGGCGCGCACGTACACGCCTCAGGGCAGTCCCGGGCGCCCGGGGTTCCCGTGGGGGTGGCCGCCCAGACTGGCCATGGAGATAGCAGCAGCAGCAGCAGCAACAGCGGCGGAGGCTGTCGCGAAAGAAAAGAAGGGCTCAGCATGGAAGCAGCTGTGGGACCCGCGGTGCGAAGGCTGCTACCGGTGTGTCCCTGGAACCCGTCCGTCCCTTCTGCGCCGGCACAAATATTAACTGTCTGGCTCAAGCGCCGACTGTTCCTGTCCCGCGGCTGGTCCCGCCTAGGGCGGGGGCTAGGCACACAGCCAGGGCCCGGCACTGCCTGCCACCTGTCCCGGAGCGCCAGGCTCCTCTTGGCTCCACGCCAGAAGCAGCGCTGACGAGATGCCCCCATCCCCCCTGTCGTCCACCATCCGGAGCTGCTCTGAGGCCTGAGCAGCTGGACCACAAGCACCCTCGTGGGTGCCACGCCCCGAATGGGACCTGGTGCACCCTGCTCCTCACCCCAGTTTCTGCTAGTCCCAGGCTCCGTGGAGTGACGGTCCCGCACAAGTACAGTGCCCCACCCCCCGCCTTTCAGTGTACGTCCCATCCCCACGGTGCGGGATTGGTAGGGCACCAGCATGTGATGAGGGTCCGAGCCCAGGGGACAGGCTGGGTGGCAGAAGGGGCCACACACCTGTGGCAGGGGCGACAGTCTCATCTGCCCCAGCCCACCTCCTGCGGACTGTCCTGGAACCTCAAGGGGCCCCAGCACATGTCCTCTTATCACATGCTACTCCCCTGGAGTCCTGCCCTGTTCTGGGGTTTTCTGTGGGTGGGGCGGGTGGGGGCCCAGGATCCCTGCCAGCTTCATGGGACAGAGCAGCAGGAAGATTCTGGGAGGACCTGGGCTGAGGCTCCTGCAGGAAGAAGTAGAAAATCAGGGTGTGGCCCGCCCAGGCCCTGGAAGAGAGACAGCGGTTGCCTGGTGTTACACTGCACACCCCTCCCCCCACATCGAAGAGGAGATGCCGCAGGTGCACACAGGACCCCCCTCCCCGAGACCCAGCTGCGCAGGGGTTCCAGGAGGACCTCGCAGAACCACTAAATACTGTTTAATCCCCTTCCACCAGCTGCCCACGGCCCCACTCAGGTTGGGGGGGCTCCTCCAGAGTCAGGGAGGGGTCCATGGGGATGGTCATGAGGCTGTGACCCTCAAGGGGCGGCATCAGGGTGACCTCCAGCTCGGGCTCCATGAGGTGGGATTCCCCCTGCTCTGTGTGCAGGGGCTCCATGGGGCAGGACTCCAGGTGCACCGTTTGCAGGTCCATGTGGTCTTCCTGGACCCTGAAGTGCTCCACCGTACTGCAGGACAGGCCCGGGTCAGCGCCCCTGACAGGGCCAGAGGGCAGGGGGCAGGGGGAAGGCTCGCCCTTGGGTCACTCACCTGCTGTCCATGGTTTCGGGGCACGTTTCACTGTGGGGACAAAGGCAGGTAAGACTCCTAGAACAACTGGGCTGGGCTCCAGGAGCCCAGAAGTGCCCTCCGCACCTCCCCCAAGCCCATAGTCTGGGAAGGCCACGCCCAAGCCTCTGGTGACATCTTTGCCCCGGCGGGAGGGGCAGAGGCTCCTTAGACCAAGGCCCCAGGGTGGGCAGCCCTTACATCCCCTCAGCCCTGGGGCTCACGCACCCCTGGCTCCGAAGGACACCAACGACGACGATGATGAGTGCAAAGAAGCAGCTGGCACTGATGCCCACCAGCACCACGAACAGGGCAATGAAGGCCTCTCGGCTGAGGCCGAGGCTGCAGTCGCAATAGGTGCCAGCTGCAGAGACAGGACATGAGCGGCCAAGCGGCTGTCACCAGCTGCCGGTGGAGGTCCCCCAGGGCCACCCCCCAATCCTGGTGGTCACCAGAACACAGATGCATCCAGCCCACCGGGACAAGGGAGGGGCCCTGGTGAGGGGATGGGGTGGGGACAGGAGAGGCACCTGCAGCAGGGATGAGCAAAAGGGACAAACATATCAGACCCAGGGGGCTGCCAACCAGGCAGGAGCCGGGCTGGGGACCGGGGGCCATGTCCAGCCCCAGCCCCACCGCACACACCTCTGGACAGAACTCACTGGAAGGCGCTGACCTCACAGTAGAGCTGTGAGGTGGGGGAGTGGGGGCAGGGCCTCTGCCGGAGCTTCACTCGCCCTTGGGCGCCGGGACTCGAGGAGCCTTGTGGGGGCAGCCGCAGGGGGACCAGGTAGGGTGGATGGGGAACCTCAATGTCCTGGCCAGATCCAAGGCAGAGGCAATGGTGGGGCTGGAGCTTCATAGGAAACGGGTGGGCAGGTCCTGCCCGTGGGCCCCTGGGGTAGAAGACACAGTGCCCCCCAAACCCAGGGAAGTCCACCGTGGGTGGTGCCAGGCCTGCTTCCCTCAGAATCAGGCCGGCGGCAGCTCAGGTGAAACTCAGGTGAGACCACCCTCCCTGCAAGGCTGGGACAAGCAGGGGTTGATGGGGGTTAGGGAGGGGCTCTGTGCCCGTTGCCCCGTTGCCCCGGCACCGGCTCTCTGGGGGAGGGCTGGGCCCATACCCCACTGGTGCCCCGGCCTGCAGGGCTCTCAGGGTCCCCGGCCCCCCAGATCGTTCTCCTCCAGGGGCAGGGCCTCACAAATGGCTGCAGGCAGCATCCGAGGCTCAGGCTTAAAGCCCACTGCCACCTGGGGACCTGCCCGCCTACCCCTGCTGAGGGCCTGGTCTGTGCAACTCCCTGCAGACCAGACAGAGCTGCCCAAGAAACTCACTGGCAGGCCAGTGTGGCCGGGGCTCACCTCAGCCACCTGGCCCTCCTGCCCTGGCAGCTCCACCAGCAGCCTGGCAGCAAGAGGAAGTGCCCTGCCCTGCAGCTGACCTTCAGAGCTGGGGGCGGTGCACAGCTCGGCCCGGCTGGCCCCTGGTCATTCGGGACCTCCCAGACTCTTGACCCAGGTGGCCCCTCTCGATGGGGCCCTCTGGGACCCACTGGCAGCTCTGTGCCTGTTGAGTGACCCAGGACGCACTGGGTCACACCACACTCTGCGTCCAAAGGCACTCGGAGCAGGTGTGCGCACGTGCCTGTGCCTGGGGCTGACATGCTCTCCTGCCAGGCCGGTCCGGCAGGTTTGCATCCTGGTGAGGATGACCAAGGCACACCTGGGCCGGTGCAAAGCGGATGCTGGTTTGGGAGACGCAGGCCCCGCCCCCGCCAGGACTGGGAGGAGAGTGGGCAGCCCCGCTGCTGTGACCACAGCATGATTCCCAGCTGACAGGCAGGCGGGACCAAGGAAGGGGGCTGCCAGCGTCAGGCCCCTCCAAGCCCGGCCCTTATCTCCCTCAGGCCCTGTGGCAGGCAGCTGACTCCAGAGCAGGGAGGGGCAGCCCTAGATTTGGGAATGCCACTCGGGGCCCCAGGTAGAGCCAGTGGCCATGAGCAGAGGTGGAGGTAGCCTGAGGGGACCCACAGAGTGCCTGGGGACAGCAAGCATGCCTCCAGGGCTGCAGTGCCTGGACAGCAGATGCGTGTGGTCCAAAGGGACGCTGTCGTGTGTGGGGACGGCCACCAGGCTAGAGCAGCTCCTGTTTGATGAGGGAGGCCGGGGCCTGGGGAGCCCACGCCCTCCCAAACCTCAGGGACCTTTGGGTCCCTGGCTGGCCCGGGGCGGGGCCTTGGGCGGGGCCAGGGCAGCTACGGCGCCAGGAGAGGCTGGGCTCTCAGGGTCGGTTGTCTGACGCTGATCCTCAAGTCCTGGGCCCCAGACCATACACTGGGGTGCAGAGGTAAGCGGCTTTCCTGAGAATACCCTTCACCATGGGCTCTGAGCCCTGTGGCCGATGGGCTCTAGCGTAAAACAGGTGGACCAGCGTCCAGTCCCCCTCGCCATGAGGGCAGGTCCCTGGCAGCCCCTCCTGCTGGGGATGTAGGAAGCTCCTGGCCTGGCAGGGACACTTGGCCACCTGCACACCTCTGGTGGTCTGATGGAACTCCTGCCCCAGAATTCAGGGGCTAGACACTCAGGCCAGGCAGAGGGAGGCGACCCCCAGGCTCCTTCCGGGGGTGGAGCAGGGGGGCTACAGCTGAAGGCCAGCATGTGGCTCAAGCCCATGAGCCAACTCCCTCAGGTTTAAAGTGCAAACACAGGTGTGGGCCCGCCCCGCCCCGGGATGTGGGCCTGGCAGCGGCAGTGGAGAGGCAGCCTGGAGCGAACCCCGGGTCACATGTCCGCAAGGTCCCACAAAGCGACCAAAACAGGAAAGAATGAGGAACAAGTGGCTTTACTCTGCACTCTGGGGACTGGGCTGGGGTGTGGTGGGGGGAGGCATGGGGATGGTGGAGGAGGGGAGACACGGGGGCCAGGCCATCCATCCGGCAGGACACAGGCAGGCGGGGATGGTGGGGCGGGGCCTGGCGGCGTCAGCTGCAGCTCTTGGGCAGGCGGTAGACGCCGGCCGCGTAGACCAGCTGCTGGTCACGCACCTTCTTCTGCAGGAAGCCCTGCAGCTCCTGCAGGTCGATCTCGGCCAGGGCGGGGCCCGTGACCACGAACATGCGAAGCATGCTGTAGATGCGCTCCAGCGACAGGCTCTCCAGGTTGGTCAGCATGGCCTGGATGTACGTCCAGAAGAGCTGGGGGAACAGTGGCCCTGTAGCTGTCAGCCGGGCCACCCTCCAGCCGCCACCCCCAGCCCCGGACCAGCCACGCCCGGCGTACCAGCAGCTCCTCCTCCTTCTGGTCCGCCTGGGAGGCCATGCCCGAGTCGCTCTCGTCGTCGCTGTCGATGAGCACCATGTTGTCGCGGTCCTGGGGCCGCTCCTCCTCCACCACAGAGAAGGTGCCAGCAGGCTCCTCCCGCAGCACGCCCTGCTGCAGCCACACGGACATCCGCCGCCGCAGCAGCGCCACTGGCATCTTCACCGCCTTGCTCAGCGCTTCAAGGGTCCAGGTGGCTGTGCGGGCAGTGGCACTCTGGGTGGGCTGGGCCAGGCTGTCCCTCCCTCTGCCCCGTCAGCCCCACCGGACCCCCGGGGCACCCAGAGGGGTGGGAAAGGGCTGCCCAAGTCCTGCCTGCCCCGCCTGTGCCAAGCATCGCAGGCTGGGCCCGGGAGATGTAGCCGGCTCACCTTGGTCCTGGAAGTACAACAGCACCACGGCCTGCACAGGAGTCACGGCCACGGACAGGGTGCGGTCTGCCAGCTCCACATCCATGGTCACCAGGCCCAGCGTGTGCTTCCAGCTGAGGGTGCGCATGGCCTGTGAAGGGCTAGGGTGAGCACGGGGGGGCCAGCGGGCTGCCAGGGAAGGAGAGGGTCCCCCCGTGCCCCAGCCTCAAGGAGGCAGGTGGGCTCCAGGCCCCCCCCCCGCCCCGGCTACCACAATGGGACAGCAAGCACCCAGCAAGCTGGGCTGTTCTCCATCACCGCCCCCAGGACAGCAGGTGACCTGACTGGGATGCGGGCCAGGTCAGGTGTCATTAGCTGAGGTCCTCATGGGGTGGACCAGCCCTCAGAGAACTTGACCCCAGTCCCCGTGAGAGGAAGAGCACATGGAACACAGACACAGGAAAAGACCGCACTGGGAGAGGGGCAGAGAGGGACCACAGGGCTGGGAGTGGGCGAGGGCCCCCCACAGCCGTCTCGGGGAGGGAGGGGACCCTGCAGCCCATCCTCAGACTCCGGCCTCCGGGGCTGACAAGAAAGCTCAGGGGTTTTTTTGGTCACTGGGTTTTGTTACCCTCACCCAAGGACACTTTCTCTGCTTTCAGGGAGAGAGGATGGGAAACCGAGGGCCGTGGGTGGGAGCAAGGAGCACCCGGCAGCTGCCTCCCGCCCGTGCACCACCGGCAATCAGCCTGCAGCCCGTCAGCTCTGGGACGACGCTCCAGCCAACTGAGCCATACCCGCCTGGCCGAGAAGCCACCTGGTCTGGGCTGCTTCATGGCGGCCCCCCAGGAAAGGGGTTTCAGTCCTGAGAAGGGCGCTACCCCAGCCCCCACCTAGAGAGAGGGCGTGGCCACAGAGCTGCGTGACGGGCTGGGGGTTGGCGCAGCCTGCCCGTAAGAGCCTGGACCGCCTGGAAGGGACAGGTTCCAGAAACACAGTCAGTAAAGGCAGCACCGGCTGCTGCCGAGAAGGCACAGGTGACGCAGGGACGCAGATGCAGGTGGGCCCCGCAGAGAGAAGCACGGAAAGGCCCTGGGAGGGGCGGGGCGGGGCCGCTTGGGCAGGTCTGTGGCTGGGGTGCAGCCCAGGCGGGGAGGTAGGCAGTACCTTCAGCTTCTCGTACTTCCTGCAGTAGGCCTCCAGGGCCTCCCTGATGTCCTCGGGGACCTCCAGCTTCTCCTCCTTGAAGGGGGGCCAGAACTCGCTGGACAGGATGACGGCATAGACCCCGAAGGGTGGCTGCTCCTCCACGGGCCGCTTCTCGTCCTCCTCGCGGATGTTGGCGTTGATGCGGCGGGAGTCAGCCATATCCTGGAAGAGCGGGGAGGAAGGGGAGAGTCTCGAGGAGGGCGGGGCGGGGCGGGGCAGGGCAGGCAGGGGGAGGGGCCTGGGGCCCACCTTCAGCATGACCTCACAGAAGTGCATGGGGGCCTCGCCGAACCGCAGCTTCAGCAGCTCCACGTTGCGAATCTCCCTAGGACGACGCGCGTCAGGGCTGTGGTCACACCCGCTCCATGCAGGGCCACCCCGAGGTCTCCCTGGGCAGCGGGGGACACAGGGTAGAGCCTTCCCCGGGCTGAGGAGCTTAGGTCAACACCAGAATGCACTGGTGCCAACAGAGGGCAGCCTACACCAGTGCAGGGGTCGCAGGGGCCGCAGCGCCCGGGGCCTCACCGCTCAGGGCTGAAGCTGAACTGGTGCAGCAGGCGGTCGGCCAGCAGCGAGCGGTACTCGTTGATGAACAGATCCTTGCTGCCGTAGATGCTGACCAGCAGGCTGATGATGTCTGAGGAGCGCCGCTTGGAGCTGGACTTCCCTGTGCAGCGGGGCAAGGGCACCATTGGCACCTCCCAGGGGCAGAGGCAGGCCCCCCTGCCGGGTGCCAACCCCCTCGGGCCTCAGGGCAGGTGTGGCAATGACCTGCACAGCAAAGTGCCACCAGCTGGACCCGCCCCACAGTGCAGAGCGGACTGCAGGGCCCGAACCTGGATCTGCGTCTACAGGGTCGGGGACCCAGTCCTCGGGCTCGCCGGAGTCATCCTCACTGTCCTGGCCCGTCTCCAGGCTCGCTGGGTCCGTCTTGGACAGCTCGACAGCCAAGTCCCCCGTCCCGTCGGAGTCGCCCGTCAGCCCGGCCACGATCTGCCTCACCGTGTCCTCCCGGGTCCTGCCAGTGTGAGGGCGTGGCCCTCAGGGCAGCTCAATGCCAGCCACCTGAGTGCTCCACGCCCCCCACCCCTGCAGCCAGCCCCTTGGCCTCTGCGCCAAGGACAAGCCCATGGAATTTTCGATCAAAAAATGAAATAAAACGAGATACACCGCCCCTGCCGGGAGCTACAGGGGCAGAGATGACCAGACAGGCTGGCCAGCTGGTTCCTGGCCCAGAGGCGGCAAGTGCCCCCAGCTCTGGCCCCGCTACCCCTGAGGGACTTCGGGCAGCACCTTCTGGAACCAAGGCTGCCGCCTGGTGTGGGACCCACCTCCTATCAGCCTGGGGCCAGGTCAGCTGGGCCACCCCTCTGTGCTGGGACGGGGGAGGGCCAGGCCACAGGCTGGCGAAGCCACTGGGAGGCAGGAGAGCAGCCGGACCATGGGGGTAGAGCCGGGAGCCGGCACTAGGCACTCACCGCAGGTAGCGGCGGACGGGCTCACAGGCCACCTCCAGGATGACCATGGAGGGGTCCAGCACGCGCAGCGCCTTGATGGCGGAGATGTAGAGCGTGATGATGTCACACGTGTTGACGCCTGTGGGGGAGGGGCAGGGTGACGGCCACGCACAGGATGGCGTGGGGTGTGGAGGCAGCCCAGGCTGTCTTCTGTGGCCACCGTGACCTCACACCCAGGACGTCTGCAGGGAGGGGCCCCCTCCCACCTCCACTCATAAGAGGTTTCTCCAGAACTTCCCCAGATCTGAACATCCCCCAACCAAGCAGTGTGTGCCAGCGGCCTGTGTGGTACCCCATCCCCAGGCCAACCCCCAAAAGGTCCCTCACGCTGCTTCAGAACCCACTACAACCCCAGGCCCTATAGGCAGCTGGGAGACCGGGCTGGGGCTCCTGGGCCTGGCCACACCTGGATGGAGCAGCCGGGTCTCCAGGGCGGCCTTGAGGGACACGAGGAGCTGCTGCCTCTGGTCGGTCCGCTCCAGGCAGTACTTGAGGTCCTCGACGGCAGGCCGGGAGTCTGGGAAGTCTGCAGGGAGATGCCGGGCGTCGCACTGCGTGCCGCACGGACAGGAAGGTGGGCAGCCCTGCCCGCAGGAGGCGAGGGCCGCCCCGTGGCAGCCCGAGTCGCCCCGTGCCTTTAAGCAGCCACACGCTTGAGCACAACCGCCCTCAGAGGCGGCAGGCAGAACGCTGAAGGGCCAGGGCAGGGGCGAGGCCGCAGGGCTGGGTGGACACCAGAAGCACCGTCCCACCCACCCCCACACCCGCCCTGATTCAGACACGGAGCTGGGGGAGCCCATCCTGGGAGGGGGGCAGCTCCACTCCAGACCACATGGCCCCAACCACCTGGGAGCGCTGCAGGGCCGGGGCCCAGGGAGGGCGGCGGGGCCGACCTCGGACGATGCTGAAGAGCTCCTCGATGCGCAGGCCGGCGTAGACTCGGTAGAAGAACCTCTGCACGTGGCAGCGCCAGCGGCGCAGTGTGGAACTAGCTTCGGGAGACGCCGGCCTGGCGGGGCCGTCCTGCAGGAACACTTTGCCCAGCCAGCCAACCACCCTCTCGATCCACTGTCAGGAGAGCACAGGTACGGGAAGGGGGGTTCAGGCTCAGCCTGACCCGAAACAGGGGTGGGGACGCAGCCGAGCCCTGGGCAGTTCCCAAGGCCGCTTGCTGTGGAGAGCAGAAGCACGTCAGCATCAGCGGGGGACGGGTCCTGAGGCTCTCCATCCGTGCAGCCCTGTCCCTTCCACAGTGCGAGAGCGCCCCGACGCACACAGAGCAGAGCACGGGCTCACCGCCACCCGGGAGGCCGCACGCAGGCACACAGGGAAGTACGTGCACAAGCCCCACGTGCCGCTGCTAAGAGGACAGTGAGAGACCCCTCTGCACACAAGCAGGTCCTGCCTCACACCCCCAGACCCGCACGTTCCCACGACTGTGTGACCCCAAGAGGACCACTGGACACTGCAACCCAGGACAACAGGGCCACCCTGACCGGGCCTCCAGCCCCATGCCTGCTCCAGACCCCGCTGCAGGGCGACTGCTTTGAATGTCCCCATTGCAGCTAACCTGCATCCTGAAGACAGACACCAGGACGAGGTGGGGAGACAACTATGAAGTGGGAGGAGGCTGCACAGCCCTCTACGGTGCGTCCCAGCTCCTCCACGACTCTGGGGAGCCCAAGGGAGAGTGCAGACCACGCCCCAACTGTGTGAGTGCCCCCAGCCCCTCCCTGCGGCCCACTGACCCTCAACACGGCCGCCAGCCGGGTAATCCTGCAGACCTTTCTGCACACGACACAGGCTTGTCCTTGCTGTCACCAAGGAGGACCCCCCCCAGGGCCCACCTCCACCGCCAGTGAGTCTGTTCTGCAGAGCCCCACATCCTGGTGGCCGCTTCTAAAGCCAGCGGGAGGTCCGGTTTGCCAGAAACCCACTGCCTGGTCCCTGGGGACAGAGCCCGAGAGGGCGGCCTCACCTTGTGGAACTCTCGCAGGAAGGAGCGCTCATACTCGCCACGACAGCGGTCCTCCATTCTCTCCCGGGTCACCTGGTGCAGGGTGACAGTCACAGCCTCGGCGCTGACCCGCTCCAGCAGACTGAGCCGGTGCCTGGCGAAGAGCCCCACCCATCAGCCAGCAGAGCCCCGATGCTGGGAGGGTGGGGTCCTGCCAAGCGCTCTGTCCTCCCCAGCTGGCCTCTCTGCCTGGGCAGGGATACGGGCCGCCCCTGTGTGCACAGACTGTGGGGCTATCGGGGGTCAAAGCCTCATCCCCCAGAAGTGGCTGTGAAACAGCAGCTGCAGCAGCACGGGACCCACGAGGAGATGAGGAAGGTCACTTCCATGTGACTGCTGTCTGCACGGGACCCAACAGAAGCCCTCAGGGCCCCCTGACCCCTGCCAGCCACAGGGCCACCCCCTAGGCCCTGCTAACAGACTCTCTGCCTAACAGCCTATACTGCTGTCACTTCATTCAGCAGGAGGAACTTGTCCTAAGCAGCCACCAGGGTAGATGGCCCGTACAACAGGACCTGGCTCCAACAACAAAGTCCTCCCGTCTTCAAAGGGCTGGAGAGGCATCTGCCTGTCCAGCCCGCCCCCCCCCTCAGGTGGGTGCCACAGAGTAGGGCAGCCAGCCCGTCTTCTGCAGCTGCAAGGCAGGTTGGTTGCCACTCCTCCCCCGAAGCCTGCAGAAGGCTTGGCTGAGCTATGCAGGGAACTCGGGCCCTGGCTGGAGTGGCTCAGTGGACTGAGCGCGGGCCTGCGCCCCAAAGCGTTGTTGAGTGATTTGCAGTTGGGGCACATGCCTGAGTTGTGGGCAGGACCCCGGGGGGGGGGGGGATGTGAAAAGCAACCACACAGTGAAGTTCCTTTCCCTCTCTTTCTCTCTTCATTCCCCTCTCTAAAAAGTAAATAAACCCATTTTCTTAAAATAGAAAATCATGTAGGATCTTAACCCAAACAAGGTATAAAACCCGGGGCTAGAATGAATGACAGAAACATACACAAGTGGTGTGTCAGGTTTTTTACAGTACATGGGTCCTGGCAACCCTCCCTCCACCATGTCCACAACCATTGGGACCGGTGGCAGAGTCCCAGCCAGCACGCCAGCTCCCTGCAGAAGTCTGAGCAGGAGTCCGGAGGAACCCGCCCACCGCACAGGCCCAGTACTCACAGGACCTGGCTGAGCCGGTGAAACTGCTCCAGCGCCTGGCGGCACCAGCACTGCTGCTTGTCACTACCACAACCCGCGCACAGGGGACTCTGCAGAAGCCGGTAGTACCGGCGGCGGGCATATCGGCTGTCCAAGTCCCCCTCCAGTTCCGGGTCTGTGCCCCCTTCTCCTTTCCTCTTACTCTGCATGTAGACTCTCAAGAAGCGCCCATAGAGGCGCTGGACCATTTCCTGAAAGGTTCTGGGAGTGGAAAAGAACAGGACGCCCCGTAACGTGGTATGGACCTTGTCCCGCAGCCCTTGAGCGCCGGTGCCCATCAGCAAGCCCAGGCGAGTCCACTTCTCCAGGAGCTCCAGGCTGCGCAGGTAGGGGTCCAGGCGGCTCTCCAGTAGCCCGAAAGCGTCCAGGAGAAGCAAGAGGCACTGCGGCTCGTCCGCACAGTTTTCGCGCTGGGCGATGGCATTCCAGAACTCGAGCGAAATGTGGGCCTGCAGGTCGTTCTGCAGCACCTCCAGGAACCACTCCTCCAGGACCGAGTGCACTCCGTGGGCCCTCAGCACCTCCACCGCCGCCCGCAGCTCCTCCTCCTTGGGCGGGACTGCTCCGCTGGTCCGGGAGGACGCCTGGAGGCAAAAGACCGTGGGGAGCAGTGGAGGTGAGAGGGAGAGGGCAGGTAGGGAAGAGACAGAGCGGAGGCTGCGGAAACGCCGCCGCCGGTCCTCCGCAACTGGGGCTTCCGGGGCGCCGAACGAGGCGGGGCCGTGAAGGACAGAAGCAGTACAGAGGCTGGGGACACACGCAGCCACAGGCACTCGAAGATGCCCTGAGGCAGCCCGCAGGGTCCCGGGTACGCCGCGCGCACGCCATTCTCGCTCCGGGCCTTACCAGTCCCAGCGCGGCCGGCGGCACCAGCCCGGTGCTCACTGTATTCCAGGCCACCAGCAGCTCCTGAGTCGGCCCGAGAGGGCCCGCCGCCGCCGCCTCCGCCGCCATCGGTGCCCACCCGCTCCCAGAGCCAAACGGCGCCGCGCGCAATGATGTCGTCAGACTGGGCGCGCGCGGCGATGACGCACGCATAAGCGCACGTTGGTGACGCAGTCGGTGAGCGCGCTGTCGGGCGCGGGGGAGCGCGCGCCGTTGGCGCTGTGGTAGCGGCGGTTGGAGTGACGGGGACACCGGGAGGCGACCATGACCCAGCAAGGCGCGGCGCTGCAGAACTACAACAACGAGCTGGTCAAGTGTGAGCGGCCGCGCGGCGCACCCGCAGGGCAGACGGGGAGGGCGCGGGGCCGGCCACCCAGGCAGCAGCTGGCCGGCAGCGCTCCGCGGAGTGTGTTGTCCTGTCTCCGTGGGGGTGGCCCTGACCCTACGGCGCGGAGGCCGTTCGGACCTTCCCAGCGCGCAGCCGTGGTCCGGCCCCCACCAGGGGCTGGATGGATATGGAGTGAACAAAAAATAAGACAAACAAAAAACCGACCGGCCTGAGCACGTCCTGACTCCAGGCCTCGCGCGGGGTGGTCCGTGCGGTGCTTTGTTGAACTCTGAGAACCCTGGGAGGTAGGACACCGGCCTGGCCCCGGGGCAGCGGGCCGAACCGGCGCCTGGGCCCTCCATCACCGTGGTGCCCCACACGAAGCGGTGGGCTAGAGAGCCGGTGGGGTGGCGCGCTTTTCCTGCCCGCGCCCACGGCCCTGCCCCTCGCCCCCAGGCATTGAAGAGCTGTGTCAGAAGCGGGAGGAGCTGTGCCAGCAGATCAAGCAGGAGGAAGAGGAGAAGCAGCGGCTGCAGAACGAGGTGCGGCAGCTCACTGAGAAGCTGGCCCGCGTCAATGAGAACCTGGCCCGCAAGATCGCCTCCCGGAACGAGTTCGATCGGACCATCGCAGAGACCGAGGCCGCCTACCTTAAGGTGGGGCTCAGGGCAGCTCAAGCAGCCTGGGTCCAGGCAAGTTCCCCCTGGCTTCTGGCTTGGGGCGCTTACAGTTGGAAGTGACAGGATTGTGGCGTTCCCAGATTCACCGTAGTGAGCGTGCGGGCTGTTTGTGGTGCCTGGCCTGATTCGGGTTGTTCTCTGCACCGTACTCGGTGCCCTGTGGCTTGTTCCAGATTGGGAGCAGCAAAGTGGCAGCAGGGGCCAGAGCCAGCCTGGCTTTCCAGGGTGCAAAGAAGGGGTGTTAAGTTAGATTCGGAGGGGAAAAGGCATTACCAGCCCCATCCGCCTGCCCCTCAGGGGCTCCCTCGGACCTGCTCCTGCCCCACAGCCCGTGTGGCCTGGCCCAGCACAGCAACTCAGGTGGGCTGAGCTGTGGGAACTTCCAGCAGAACAATCATCACGTGTTTCTGTTCCTAGATCCTGGAGAGCTCCCAGACTCTGCTTAGTGTCCTGAAGAGGGAAGCAGGGAACCTGACCAAGGCCACGGCCTCAGAGCAGAAGAGCAGTGTGGGCAAGGACAGCTGACAGGGCCCCAGGTGGGGAGAGGCCTGTCTCCACTGCCTCCTCTCATGCATGGTCCCCAGCGAGTCAGTCTTCACAGCAGCAGCTGCCAACCTCCACTGGCCCTGGGTGATGAGCCCCAGCGCAGCCCACCAGGTGGGAGGGGCCCTGGCCATGTGCTCAGGCAGAGGATGGGGAGGGTGGGCCCTAGCTGTGCTCTGCTTGGGGCCGTTAGCCCCCACCCCCTCACTGGGCCACGGGGAGGTGCTGCTTCTCGTCTCCCAGCGTTGTGGGAGTGCACTTGTGCCCCTCTGCCAGCACGTGCCCGGGCCAGGCACTTGGGCAGGGGCGGGAGGCCTCCTTCCTCCCCGAGCTCGCCCTAACAGCCGTGACTGTTAATAAAGGTTGTCTTTTAAAGATTCATGCCACCCGTTGCCTGACGTGGTGTGAGGGGGTCCCGAGCACCCGCGGTGACTCCCAAACTGCTTGCCCTCGCCATTCCCGGCTCCCTGCACCTGCTGCCGACGCCGAAGCCCATTCTTTGCTGAGGGGCTTTGTTTGAGGGTCTGGGCACCCAGCGAGGGCTGTGCCTCAGCGCTGTGATGCCAGACCCTGCTCAGGACAGGGCCGCCGCTCCCTGCCCTCCCTGGCCACCCACCAGGCATGCCCACTGCCAGCTTAGCAGGTGTGCTGGGACCCCGCCTCCTTTTCTGGGTCCATCTCTGGTGGCTGCGCTCACCCCCGTTGGGGGTCCCTGCAGCAGTGTGCCTGGGGGAGTGGGGGGGCAAACATGTACAGGTTGAGAGTCCATGTCCAGAGGAACTGGGGCCCACACCTCTTGGGAAAAACACCAAACCGAAAATGCTTCTTCTGCTCCGAGCCTAGACTCTGCAGGAGGGACAGCCTCGAGGTCAATATTGCTCTGTAAATGGCCCTCAGATGCAGCTGAGTGGGCAGCTCTGCACCCCTGCCGCCTCCCAGGGCCCACTGCGTTTCCCTGCCAGCTGCCAGCACCAGCCCCACGGAAGCTCAGAGGCTCTCACGGATCACGGCGTTTTTCCAGGCCAGACAGGAGACAAGATGCCCGAGGCTCGGCCCACCCCGTCTCCGGGGGCTCTTCCAGGCTCTCAGCCCCTCGGGGGAACCACTTCAGATCCAACAGCTGCAGTGTTCGTCCTCCTGCCATTGCCTGTAGTCCAGGCCCCTGGGCACAGTGTGCCCTCTGGACAGGAGTGAAGGCCCACTGGGGAGGTGCTGGGGAGCTGGGTAGGAGAGGGCTGCCTGAGACTGGGGCACACAGGGAGATCCTTCGTGGGCAAGGGTAGGGTAACAGGCTGTAAGGAGTAAGAACCAGCCCTGCAAGTTATGGGGTACCCACTGGGCACCCCTACCCTGAGGCACAGAGCTTGGGGCCCCCTCACAGCTTGTGTGGGTTCCCCCCCCACCAGCCCTGCAGTGGGGCCTGGCGCCCCCTTCACAGGCAGAGGATAACGCAAGGAGGCGGTCTCATCTGGTGGTGTTTATTGAGTCCATTGTCAGAGGCAAGAACAGACTTCCATTCACCACCAGGGAGGCAGGCCGAGCTCAGCCACGGGTGGGGATAACCTGGGGGCTACTTGTGGTCCTGCAGAGGACAGGCAGCTGAGCCAGCCCTTCACCCTGGACACATCAAGCAGGCCCTGGGCCTAGCGGCCGGCAGGACCCTACCCCTACACTATGGCTGGAGAGTGAGGTCCCAAGGGACAGAGTGACCCCAGGTGCCCCAGGAAGGGAGGGTGGGTCGTGGGGAGCAGAGCCCGGCGGGGCCAAAGGAGCTGCAGTGCTGGCCATCCGGAGGGACTGGGGTCAGAAGTAGAGGGCCGGCTCGCTGCGGAAGTCCGAGAGGTCGTCGTGACTGGCAGGGGTGAGCTGTGGGGTAGGAAGGCCATCAGCTGGGCCTCGCCCAGGTCTTAGGGACCCACCCCGCCCACACCTGGGCACCCTGGCCTCTGCTCACCATGACCTCCTTCTGCGAGGGCTCGGCCTCAGCTGGGGCTTGGGCCAGTGCCTGCTCCTGCCAGTTGCTGAAGGCCGTGGAGTGCTTCGGAGTATAGCTGGACAGGCCTGCAGGCCGAGGGGCACGCGTGTGAACATGTGAATGCACACACATGTGGCCCAGGCTGCCTGCTGGGCTGTCTGCCTGGATAGGTGGGCACTCACCTGAGCTGCCATCAGGAAGGCGAGGGCTCTCGGGCGCCACACTGCTCACAAACTTGGCTCGGGGCACGAAGAGCGCAAAGGGCTTCTCCACGGCCCCGTTGACGTTGGCCCCCTCCTCCGCTTCCTCCTGCTCCTCCTCCTCCTCCTCCCCCTCCGCCTCCTGCACCAGCGAGCTCTCGGAGGGGTACTCAAAGGTCGTGTGCAGGCTCTTGTCATTGAAGGAGATCTTCATCTGGGGGAGAAGGCACATCAGCCAGAGCCGCTGCCGGCCTCCAGTTAGAGCAAGGGTGACACAGTGGGGGCATCAGACCGGAGCAGGGCAGCCGAACACGGCATCCACCTTCAAAGGCTCTGACAGGTGGGGGGCTACCTCTCATCTGAGAAGACCCCCCCGGACCCCGAAGACCCCTAGGACAGCTGGGTCCGGCTGCCTCCAGCCACCCCACGGGGTCTCCGGGAGACACGAAGGCGGCTCCCAAGGCCAGAGGGTTGCCTTCTCAGCTCGGGGGAGCAGAGTCCAGGTCAGGCTGCCTGGCGGCCCCGCCTCCTCAGTGCACAGAGGCTCCTGCTGTTAGCTGGGGCCCCTCTCCAGAGCCAAGTTCATGTTGCAGCTTGCTGGGCACCTAGATGGTCCTGCCCACCCAGCTCAGCACGGACCACCACTGCCAGGCATACCTGAGGCCACCTCCCCACAGACCCAGGGCCCTGAAGCCGGCGGCTGCCACGGGCCAGCACCAGGAGAGTGGCCCCATGTGCTGCCGCCCTGTTTCATGGGCAAGTCAGTGCCCGTCTGAGTTGGCACCAAAGGCGGGGTCAGGGGCCCTCTCCTCCCACCTGGATGCCGTCTGGTCCCCACCCACCCTGCCCAGTCCACAGCCTCCAGAATTTCCCAGGCCTGCTTGCAGGGTTCCGCCAAGCCTGGCAGCCGGTAATGAATACTCAGCCTACCCGCGGCAGATGGAAGCAGCCCTGCTGGAGCTCGAAATATTAAACTCCTGGGCACAGGACACCAGCAGCCAGCTCAGGTTCCTCCTCCGCCCCAGGAAGGAGCCTGAGGCAGGAGCGGGGCCTCCAGGCAGAGGACCATGGGGCCCAAGGACTGGGAGACAGGGAGGGCCTCACAGGAGGGCTGGGCTGGCAGCCCCAGGCAACAAAGGAGCCCGGATCCCAGCCTCGGGCACAGGCAGGACCCACCAGCGTCCATGAAGAAGGGCGCGCACTCCCACGGACCCACCCTCGCTCCTCTCTGGGCCACAGGAGCACATTCGGCCCCGCCCACCCACCAAGGGCAGGGTCCTTCCGGCTCAGCATGGCCACCGCACAGACGCCCTCGGGGCACGTCAGGGTTCCCGGAGCCCTTCACCACAGCCACCCGCACAGACCAGGAGCAGACAACCCGAGTCAGGCAAAGCCAGGAGGGAGATGTCTGCGTCCGTCCCTGGGAGGCACGCTGTCCCTCGCTCTGCCCTGTCCCTGCCACGGGGGCCAGGGAGAGCAGGGCCCTGGCATGGGGGTGATCACCACAGTCGACAGGTGCCCACTCACTGCCAGCCAGCTCTGGGGGGCACTGCCTGGCCCTCTGGGACTTGAGGATCCCCCAGGAGGTGCCCAAGGTAGGACGGAGCTGCTAGCCCAGGGGCCTCCCCCTGCCCCAAGGCCCCACGGTGAATGGGACTTCCAGTCACCTCCAGGTACATGGCATTGTCCCTGAAGACCCTGAGCCGTCTGGACCCATCCCCCACGGCTGAAGACACAGGAAGGGCTGGCTGCCAGGGCCAAGGCGGATTAGCGTGCCCTCATTAGTCCACATGACTGGCTCCTAGCAGAGAGACTGGGGGCTGGGCACTCGCAGGCACAGCCTGACACAGCCTGACCAGGTGGGGGTGGGGCAGTGCTCACAGGCCCCGCTTTGGGTCATGTCCCACCTCCCTCCGTGACCCTTGACAGCTGCCTCCTCTGTGGGCCCATGTGTTCTGACAACACATGCGGCTGGGGGCCCCTCCCAGACACCCGGAAGGTGGAAGGGGAGTGTGGGGCTGCTTGCACACACCCAGTCACCTGTCTCTGGGGACTTTGACCACCGCACTGAGCACAGCCAGCAGGTGGGTCCTGGCTGGCCCGCCTCCCGGCTCTCTCCGGTCCTTTGTTCCCCACACCCCGCCCACCGCACACCGCCACCCTGGTCTGCGGGCCGCCTGGGCTCGACCAGCCCCAGCTGGGATGGGTGCCCCACCACTCACTCCCCACACGCACCTGCTGGCTCCCCCTTCACTCAGCCCTTCCCCCAGCCCCAGCTCAGGTCCCCCTGTGCTGCCCTCACCTAAGTTCCCCACTGGGGACCCTGAGTCCAGACCCTGGGCAGGTGGGGAAGCGAAGCAGAGCAGGGTACGGGCCTGCCCCCACGGCCACGGGGCTCTGGGCAGACCACTGAGGGGTGACCTGCAAGAAGAGTCGGGCAGAGTGGGAAGGGCAGAGCGCAGCCGCAGCCACAGCTGCGACAGCCGGGTGCCTGGTGGCCCTCCACCCCACCCCGGCAGGGAGCACAGGGCTGCACACTGGCAGATAGGTGGCCACACGGGCCCCAGAGGGCAGTGGCCCCCCAGGTCTGAGGACCAGCTGAGACGGAGAGCTGCGGCCACGCCAGTGGAGGAGGGTGCTAGGGCAGTGGTCACCGAGGGTGAAGCGAGGGCAGCAGTGTTGAGGACCAAGCCCTGGGGACACTGACACGCTGGGCTGGGCAGCGGACCAGCAGACGAAGAGGTGAGGAGAGCAAAAAGGAGGGGAAGGCACCACCAGACAGCAAGGAGCCTGGCCGGGTGGCTTCTCACAAAGGGGAGGCCTGCAGCACCAACCCCATGGGAGGCGGGTGCAGAGAGTGGAGGGGCAGCCCCGCCCACCGACAGCCGGGGGGCCGGGCAGGGGTGACAGGGAGCCCGGCCGCCTCACCCAGCAGCAGCCAGCCTGGCTTGGCCACCCAGAGAGGTGGCGATAGAGCATCTGTGATTCTGCAGAGATAACTAAGTGGGGATGTGTGCTGCCAGGCGGGCGTCTCCAGGGCCCGGCAGAGATGTAGCCCCCGAGGCAGCACCAGGGTACAACACTCTCCCGTGAGGGGCTACCCGGGGAGCCCAGCTGCAGGTGCCCACCGCGCCCACACCTCCCTCCACCGCCCTGGGTCAGCCAGCCACGCCGGGGTCAGAGTGAGCAGTCAGCTCCGAGGCCCTGCTGGCCTCCAGACAGAGCGAGTGGGGAGCAGGGAAGTGGTCCTGGTGAGGACGAGGCCTGGAGCCCAGAGGGGCCACGGAGGAGTGCCCAGGGGCCACAGTCAGAGGGCCCCAAACCGGCAGGCTGCTCTGCAGGGCTGGGCAGCCCACGCCCCCCTCCCACCCGCCATGCGTCCGGCACTCCCTGGGCAGGGCGGCTGGTGCATGCCCAGGCAGGAAGTCACCGCCAGCAGGTCATGCTGCTCTGTCAGGGCAGGGCCCTCCCAGGCCACTGGGCCATGCCAGGCACAGTCCATCTGGACCCACGGCCCCCTCAGGCTGGCACGGAGACAGGGCCACGCTGGTATCATGCCAGCCCGGTGGAGCACGCTCCACTCCAAGCCCGGTGTGCTGCCTGCTCCCCGCCCGCCCGGCCCCCAGGCCACCTTCCCACCCTTCTCACACCAGCCACCCACAAGCAACCCTGCAGCTCTGCACCCAGCCTGGGCCAGGGTGCACCAGGCAGCAGCCCTCCAGCCCCAGCAGGAAGCTAGGCTCCCCCCGGAAGGGCAGCCAGGGTAGCACAACGGCTGTAGAGACAGGGGCCACCCCTCGGGTGCCAGGACCTGCCTCCCCTCTCCATAGATCAGGGAGCAGTCATCACCTCGGTCCTGCTAGTGCAGCCAAAGCCAAGGGCCAGAAAGCAGGGTGGGGGCACATACGGGAGCTGCAGGCATGGGGTAGGACTGGTGGCCAAGGCTACTGGGTGGATCGTGCCTGGGAGGGGAAGGGCAGGGACTGGGGAAGAGTCGTGGCCCATGGCCCCAAAGAAAGGCCAGGCCAGGCCAGGCCAGGCAGGGGGCACTTGGGGAGCCAGGTGTGGGTGCTCAACCCAGCAGTGGGGACTGGCAGGAACACAGGTGCCCTCGCCAGGGAAGGAAAAAGTGACATGGGGTGGGGGGTGGGGGACATGGTGCCAGGGCAGTAAGGACATGAGGCAGTAAGTCAAAAAGAAGCAAATAGAGGGAGGAGGTGGCAAATCTGGCAGGCACATCCCCACCCCCAGGGAAACTGAGGCTGGGGCAGAGGTGGCCTGAAGGGCCCCAGACACCAGCAGCTAAAGAGGCCCGCCCACACCATCTCTGTGCCGTCACTTCTCGGAAGTCACTGCCCGGGAAGTCAGTTCTAGGGAAGGGCATCTGTTCCCGGCCTGAATCATCACCAGGATGGAGCTGTCCTTGGAATTTGCCCTGGGGCCAGACACCGGGGATAAAATGACCAGGAAGAATGTGAGGAACGCTTCCTTGTGCTGAGAGGGTTCCAGGCCATCAAACAGGGCAGGGCCCAGGGAATGGGGCTCCTGGGTCACCCTCTGCCCTAGGCCCCTCCCCCTCCATGAGGGGGAGCGGCTCTGTCTCCCCAGCACCACAACTCGGGACGAAGCCCGACACCCACAAGGGGATCAGGGAGCACAGTCAGAGCCCAGGCCCTGCTGGGGGCAAGCCTTCTGGGGGGCTGAGGGCACCCCTCTGAGTGGCTCCCAGCGCTGTGCCCGTAGGCTGACAGCAAGGTGGGGATCCAACCACACTTGGATCACAGGCCTCCTGCCCCTTCCCACTTCTGTCCTGGCACCTGCTACCTGAATGGGCCAGGAGAGCAGATCACACCAGAGCTACCACTCTCACCTGGAGGCCAGGTGGAGCCACCAGGCCCGAGCTTTTCTCCCAGCTGCACCTTCGGTGAGACAGACCTGCCTAGCCGATGCCGGACAAAGCGCTGGGGCTCAGGACAGGGGTCCCCCCACTCAGAGCTGGAGTGGCCCCCGGCCCCAGCTCTGCCCTGGTCCGCAGAGAAACAGCCCCACCCCACCCCAGGCCAGACGTCCTGGGAAAGCCATCCAGGAGACCCGCTACCTCTGCACCTCCTGGCTGGAGACCTGCCCCCACCACTGACCTTCTTTCTCGAGGAGCCAGCCTTGGTGAGGCAGGACTTCTGCAAGGCCAGGTAGCCGCCAATCACTTCGATCTCATGCACCGTGGGGTAGCGCTTCTTCAGTGCTGCCCCCGGGACAGTGGGCGGCTCTGAGAGGCCGCCCACCTCCACCTCCTCGGCCTCATGTGGCCTGGGCCCCCCATTGGCCTGCAGGACCCCTGGCTTCCTCTTGGGCACCACTGTAAAGGTGTTGCCACCACGCTGCAGGAGCTCTGGCGGCTGGTACTGGGGAGGCACAGCAGCCGCTGAGCAGGTCAGTTTGGCTTCTTGGGGGATCTCGTCCTCCGAGTCCACCTCATCAATGAAGGTGACAGGCAGCCCTGGTCTAGCAGGCTCCCCACCAATCTTGGCCAGGCCGGGAACCCCGAAGCCCTGGGAAGGCTCAGCTTCGGTGGCAGCCGGAAGGGATGGGGGTGGCGGTGGTGAGGATGGCCTCGGCCACCTCACAGCCCGGTCCACTAGGGCAGTGGCTGGCCTGGGGCAGGTCCCCTCCTGGACCCCCGAGGGGCCCCTCCCACTGGCAGGCGCATTATCGGCTCCAGCCACCACTTGGGCTCCGCTCTGGGAGTCCTGGGAAGCCCAGACAACCTCTGTCTCTGGGGGCCTCGCGCACTGCCTCCCTCTGACAGAGGTTCCGAAGGCCTTGCGCTTGGGGATGAACACAAAGGAGTTTCGCGAGTTCACGCGGAGGCTGGCCAGGGCCAGGGCCTGCAGGTCCCCGGCAGGAATTGTGTCCATATCTGGCTTGGGGGCCGGCCGGATCTCGAAGGAGTCGTTGGCGCTAGTGGCCGAGGAGACCCACTGGCGCTGGCTGGGAGTGGCACTGGCATGGCTGGGCATGGGCAAGATCGGGGGCGCGGCTGGGGTGGCACTGGAGGTCCTGGGGCTGGGGGGCGGGTGGGTTGGGAATTCCCCTGACTCCACCTTTGGCTTGCAGTCGCCCGGCCCAAACTCAGAACCCGCAATGCAGTTGGCAGCACCGGCCTGGGATTCTGGGGCCGCGGGCCCGTTGGGGAGAGAGCGAGTGCCCGAACCGCGGTGCAGGCCGCGGGGATGGACGGTGAAGGAGTTGCTGCTGGTCTTCTGCAGGAAGTCGCTGCGTCGCGCCCTGGGTCCTGCGCTGAGGCGCTCAGACTCAAAGCAGGCGACGCGCTCACCCACCCGTGGGCCAGTTGGGCCAGGGGAAGGTGGCTGTGGCGGCGGTGGCAAGGGGCGACTGCGCTCCGGGCTCCCGCGACAGCGCGGCGCAGTCGGCGGGTCGAACTTCTGGAGTAGGCGGCTGACGCGGCCGGGTGGCGCCGGAGCCGGCGCCTCGTATACCACCACCTCGGCGGCGCAGATGCGGGCAGCTGGGCCCGCATCAGGGCCGGGGGCAGCAGGCGGGAAGCCAGGCACCGACTCGATGATGAGAATGTTGTCGGCGCGGATGGTGCGCACGCCCGGCACGCGGCTGTACAGCTCCAGCAGCTGCTGCACCGGCCGCGCTCCCGCCGCGCCCGCGCTCCCGGCGCCCCGCGCCCCTCGTCGCCGCTCCGACTCGAGCCGCATGAATGGGTTCTCGCGCAGTGGGCCCAGGCTATCGGCCAGCACGAGCCGCTCCTCCACCGGCTCTACTGGCCCCGCTGCGTCGAGCCTGGCCCCGGGCACAGTCCCTCCGCTCAGAGCCGCCAACTTGGCCCGCTTCCGCTCCAGGATCTCCCGCTTCCAGGCAGGCATTGCCGCACGGGGCCCCGGGCCCGGCCGCCCCAGTCCTGCCATGGTGTGGAGCGGCCGCCGGAGCCAGCGCGCGCTGGGAACTGCGGCCACCGCCCGCAGCGGGGCTTTGCGCCTAGGCCACTCCCTGCCCCCCCACGACCACCGCCCATTGGGGGAGGCCTGCTTAGACCCGCCCCGCACCCAGCAGCCCCACCTATAGCAGAAGCTGACGGACAGCCTAGCTGATTGGAAACTGTTCTACCTGGCTCCACCTTCCGAAGGACTTCATTGGACAGCGTCCCCACCAGACTCGACCTTCACTGGGGAAGGCCCCCTTGAACACGCCCCCAACACCTCGCGAGGCTCATTAGTGGCCCTTACTTCCGCCTCTGAACCTTGTCTTGGTTCTTGGAGTGGGGCGGAGGCTTGGAGTCCAGCGAGGGCAGGTCCAGGCCGGCTGCAGGAGACCGACCCCTGCGCTCTGCATTGCGGATGACCTTGGCCCGGCCGGGTCCTTCTCTTGGTGCCAACACCCAGCCCGCCTGTTCCTCACGCTGAGAGCGCAGTGGAGGAAGGGCCTGCCCAGGACCAGAAGGCCATCCCGGTTCCCGCGGATGCTGCACAGGCTGCACACCAGCCTCCCACCTCTCAGTCCAGGCCCCTCCTGGTCCGTGGACTGCCCACCTGGGGTCCTCTGTCCCCTGCGGAACTTAGCAGAGATGCCAACGCTGGAGCCCTGCCAGTACTGAGGACTCGGTTTCTCAGGAATCCCTGGCTTTGCTGCCCCCCCAGAACTAATGGTGTTGCTCAAACAAGTGGGAAAAGCTTACCCCACACATTGCCGTCCAGGGCCCACAGGGTGTGGACAGGACTCCAGAAACTGTGAGGAAGCACAGAGAGAGGGGCCGTCCTCTCCACAAATGAGCAGTCCCACAGCTCTCGAATGCAGGAAGAGCCACAAAAGCCAGGCCATGTATCCCTAAGCTACTGTTGAACTTCCTTCATCCCAAGGCTGGTAGGGGGGTCTCACTGACCCTGAGGACACAGCCTCCCGGTCCACGTGCCATGAGGAAGCTTACTTCCCAAGTGCCAGTGAGGGTTGCCCAGTGCCCACCCCATTCTTTTTGGTCTGCTGGAGCCAAGAGGAGAAGGGAAATCTGCTCCTGGGAGAAGGGGAACTCTGATATGGGGAGATGCCACCTGCCTTTCATCCTGCCCTGCAGTCAGCAGATGCTCAGTAATGACTGAGCACCACACCAGTGCCTCCCACACCACTCATCTCTTAGGGGAGGAGTTCCAAGGGCACCCAGGGCAGATTTCAACCAGAGGTGCCTTTCTCACTGTCTGGACGCCATGGCAGTGCATCGCCTTTCTGAAAGAAGCTAAATCTTCTTATGCTCATCTCCTTGAAACAGCAACAGGACTCCCTAATAAACCTGAATTACCAGAATAAACACAGGGGAACGACAAATGTGCAAGCTAAAAATGACATTCAAAGGAAACCCACCCCAGGGGCTCAGCTGGTGTCTGGCTTTTGGCACACGTCATGACACTCCGGAAATATTTCTGTGGCTGTGGGACAAACCAGACCCGTCTCCAACTCAAGCAATACAGCACACACCCTCAGCAAAGGGTCACGAAGTTGCGGCCCTGGAACACAGGTTCACGAACCTGGTTTGTAAAGGCCCACACTGCTCACCGGGGACATTTTTCTTCCAGAAGACTTGGCCATGTCTGGATACACTTTTGGCCGTCACAAATGAGGTGCTACTTGCATGTATTGAGTGAAGGCCAGGGATGCAGCTAAATATTCTGCAATGCTTGGGAGAGTCCCCTGCAATGAAGAATGATCCTACCCAAAAGACCAACAGTGCCGAGACCGAGAACCCGCACTGCAGCCACATCTGCTGTCTGTCAAATATTCTTTCCTACAGAGTGGCAGCAAGGTCCACAAACACCACACGCTGGCCAGACACCAAGGCTCTGAGGTCACACAAACTACGCGGTAGGACCTCAACAAGGGCCTGCCTCCTGTCATCGTGTCAGCCCCCAAGGCAGGAGGCAGGAGGCAGGAGGCAGGAGGCAGGAGGCAGGAGGCAGGAGGCAGGAATTCTCCAAGGGAAACCTGCCCATCCACCTATACCACACAGCAGGAGGTGTCTCAGCACCCATTTGATTTCACTCCGATTGGTCAGGCAACCACTGTGCGGTTCAGCAAAACATTCTCTTATTTTATTTTAACCTCAGCAAATATTCTCACTTGGCACCTGACTGGTATCAAACCAAAGCCCTCAAGCTGACACATGTGGGCTTCGGCCACTCGCAAACCTCCCACTTGCAGGTCTCCACGCCTGTGGGCATCAGAACACCTGTTCCTCTCTCCGTCCCTCAGGGAGGCCTCAGTGGGACTCAGGTGCGCTAATGCTGCTGGCCACAAGGTGGTGGCAGAGTCGAGAAACTGTGATCAGCTGGGACAGGAAGTCAAGCAGAGCCTTTAAAAGCAAAGTTCTTTTCTCAGGTGACAGATCACCAGACAGGGCCCTGATCATGCTTACTCAACACAGTTCTGTCTGCCCTGGCTGGAATGACGGAAGGGCCACCCTGTCCCCAGTGGCACAGGGGAGGAGATAGCAAGCTGGCTTTTACTTTTTAGAGCCCAAATACCTAAGAAGTCTTGTCTGGGTGAATGGGACAGTAGGCCCTTAGGTCAGCGATGCTGGCTGTCTCCGCAGTCTTTGCACAAGGGTGCTTCCCCAGGGTCCATGAAAATACTCAGAGCACATTAGGACATTTTACTTATACTCAATTTCCAGCTGTCAGAGGAGTTCAGGACTATCTGCCCTGCAGCCCTTCTCAAGATTTCCATTCAGGATTAGCTATTCAAAGGATAAAATAACAGAAAATACATCTTTTCATGCCTGCTGAGAAAACAGTTTCAGGCATGAATGACATAGAGAAAACTGGGCACTCTGCAGGGCATAGGCTGGCGTTGCTTCCAGACCCATACTACCCCCCCCCCCCCGCTGCGGCGGAAGGCTGGCTCCTCAGTCTTCCAGGGGGTGGTCCTCAGCTTGGGGTCCAGCATTCTCGCTCTGGAGAGCTCCCTCTCCGGCCACTCCGCGAGATTAGTTGACCCGGCAGGCACGGATCATGAGCAACTGCAGGAGAATGAAGACTGGAGACGTGATCAGGCCGAACCAGAGCTCCCGAGTCTGCTCCACCAACTTCTGGCACAACAACATTTCGAAAACGAACTTGAGGCTAAGAACCGTGAGGATCCAGAAGAGGCGGAGCACGGCCAGCCGCTTCTCTCCGTCCTGGAAGAGGCGTACGGACACGATGGTAGTGAAGTAGGTGCTGAGCCCGTCAGCGGCGAAGAAGGGCACGAACACGTTCCACCAGGAGAGGCCGGGGGCCAGGCCGTCCACACGCAGTGCCAGCAGCACGGAGAACACCAACAGGGCCAGCAGGTGTACGAAGATCTCGAAGGTGGCGAAGCCCAGCCACTGCACCAGCTCCCGGAGCGAAAAGAGCATCGCGCCGTTTGAGCGCGGGCGGGGGCCCAGCCGAGAGCCCTTCCCACCGGGCCGCGCCTCCTCTCCCCGCGGGCTCCGTTGACGCCTGTCGCGGCGAACGAGAGGCAACGAGCAGCCCTGCCTGCCCGGGCTCTCGGTCCCAGCGCGCCGCCGATCTCCAGACCTCGGCCCGGGACCCAGCACTGGCCCCCAACTGACCCCCGCCCCGCTCGGACGCCATGCCCCGCAGGGGCGCAGGCTGATGGCGTCATTTCCCGTAGACACCGGAAGTCGGAAGTCGGAGCCGGTCCCGACTGCTTGCTCCAGTTCCTAGATGCAAGGGTCTCCGGGGCGCATAGACTCCCCAATGCCGAGCCCACGACTGCTGGTCCTCTTCGGCAGCCAGACGGGCACGGCCCAGGATGTGTCTGAGAGGCTGGGCCGCGAGGCCCAGCGCCGGCATCTCGAGTGCCGGGTGCAGGCGCTGGATTCCTACCCTGTGGTGAGGGTTCCCTGGGCCTGGGTAGGGCGACCCAGCGTGCTGGGGGCACCAGCCCCCAGATCCCTCGACCACAGGGCGCCGCGTTTCGTCTGAGAGTGGACCCCTCCGTTACGGAGGACGGAGGGGATGGGAACTCTTGGGAACAACAGCTCACCTTAGCATCTGGAGGAGGGGACAGGAGGAGGCTGAGGAACCCATGACTCAGGCCTGGGCTCGCAGTGCCCCCTGAGTCCCTTTTCCCTGACACCCTGAGCGAAGGAGAGGGGCCAGACTGCGGGACGGGTGCCTGGTCCGTACAGCCTGCGCTCTTACACCAGTGTTTTTTTGTTGAGGCGAACCTGATTAATGAACCCCTGGTGATATTTGTTTGTGCGACCACAGGCCAAGGAGACCCCCCCGACAACATGAAGGTAAGGCTGACCTGAAGTGGCTCCCTGTGCTCAGGGGCTCAGACCCCAGCCCTGGCCCCTCACTCCGTTTTCATCGTCTGGTGGGTCTGAGAAGCACAATGAATACTTGCCCTTTTCCATGGTGCCCGGCAGGCGTGGGTTTGAGAGGACGTTTTGGGGCGGGGCCAGGGGTTCTGGTTATCCTCCTTAATAAACTCTTCACAGGTCACCATTTTAACCTTTTGTATTTTTCCAGGGTTATGTATGAATCTGGGTCTTCTGTGTGTTTCAAAATTGTTTGACCTTCAGGGAGCATTCTTCAATTCTTTGACCATCTCTGGGGCACATGTTATATTTCAAGCAGGATCTAATGTCAGGAGTCCAGTGCCATGAAGCCAGTAGCCACCGCTCTGCCCTCAGGGAGCCAACAACAAGGAGCAGTAGCAGGCGCAAAAGGCAGTCACAGGGTGGGAAACCCACGCTGCGGGGGAGAAGTGCCGGGCATTGTGGGAGCACTAACCTGGGGGCTCGGGGACAGCTTTCTGGCAGACAGGAGTGTGGGCTGAGTCCTGAAGGATATGTGGGCATACCTCGGCCCCAGCAGAGAGGGAGTGGCCTGTGCACGGGGGGACGACAGCCCAGCCTCTGGGAAGAGTGAGAATCAGCTCAGGGGGACCGAGCCAAGGAGCGTGTTGGGGAGGAGGGAGATGAGGTGGGAAGCATGGCCCAGTCCAAGCAGCCAGGTCGCCACAGGGAGACCATCACATTCAGGTCCTAGCAAAACCACGGCCGGTCTGCAGGCGGGCAAGGACAGCACTGAGGGCCACAGTGCCGGCAAGATGCCAAAAGTGGGCATGTTCCACAGATGCTGAGGCAGGCTCAGCAGGCTCAACAGGACGCAGAATTGAGCGGATCTCGAAGATGAGGGAGGAGGTGGGACTGAGACAGGTTCAAGCTCCAGTACCAGGAAGGAGGGTGGCTGCTCATGCAGAGACACACTAGTGAGGGCCTGGCTCATGGGAGTCGCTCAGGTGGAGATGCAAGGTGGGTCTGGAGCTCCAATGAGGATCCAGGATGGTGGGGGTGGGAGAGCAGATATTGGAGAGGCCAAAATGAGAAAAGAATGCCACCTTCCCCAGGACAGGCCGTGAGGGGTCGGAAGGTGGCCCCAGCAGCAAGAGAGGGAGCACACCACGGCCATGCTCGGGGCAGGAGGGGGCTGTTTCCAGAGGAAGGTCTCCCTGCTCAGAGCTGTGCAGTGAGATAAGGTCTGAGGGGCATGGGCGGAGCTTATCAGTGCAGGGACTGTGGACCTGGGGGAGGGCAGTTACCCAGGCTCACAGAGAAGGGTGGGAGGGAGTCTATGGCAAAGAATTCAGAAAGGCTTCTGCTGTGGATGGGGCTGAGGTACCGAAAAGAAGGTGCCTGTAACAAAGGAGCGACTCAGGCCAGCTTCAGTGCTGGGGGTGAGGACCGAAGAACAGTGTCGGAGTGGAGTGTTGTGGGACACCTGAGGGCAGGACGCCAGCACAGGGTCTCCTCAGGAGAGAAGGCAGGTCGGAGTCGACCAAAGGCTGGAGGTGGCTGGTGGGTGTGAGAAGTGCAGGGCACAGGCAGGAGGGTTAGAGACCCTCCACGGCTGGGCTGGGCTGTGAGGGCAGAGGTGCAGACTCAGTGTCTGATGCCAGAGGCACAGAGGTGGTGACTAGCGCACTGGGATGAGGGTGGGTGCAGGAGGGCAGGGTGCAGTGCTGGGCACCCGCGGAGGTCGTCACCAGGGGGCCTGCCCCACAGCAGGGACCGGCGGCCTAGGGACACAGAGGCAGGGGCTCGGCTCCTGCTGCACACCAGGCTCCGTGAGCAGCTGTGTGCCCAGTGGTGAGACCCCGGCTTCCATGCTGAGAATCTTCTGGCCAGGTGTGCACCCCCAGGCAGCAGCCAGGGGAGTGCTCGGGAACCCAGTGACTGCAGTGGGTGGCCGAGCAGCCAGGCCCCTGCCCCGTCTCCCAGCCACAAAGCCCACGGGAGATGGGCCCAAACTCACACCTTCCTGTTGGCTTCTGGGACACAGACGGACCACCCGGAGCCCGCAGACCCTGTGGGAAAGGCCAGGAGAGAGTCGGGCCGGGAGGAGCAGCACAGGGCAGTCAGGGAGCTGCCTGCAAAGGGATAGGCCTCGTCCCCCGGGGCCAGCGCTGGTGACCCACAGATCCTCTTTGAAATGATACCAGGAAAATTTGAGGAGATGGACAGTTGAGAAAGTCTTCCGGGAAGTGTAACAAAATTAAGGCAGGAACAAGAAAGAATACATTAAAATTCCAAGGTCATTCCAGTAGCTGCACAGTGAGGAAAGCAGGGAGGAAGTTGTCCTGGAGAAGTACAAGGAGCCTCCCACGTGCCCAGGAAGGGGCCACCAGAAATGTGAAGGCCTCTCAACCAACTCTTCCACCCGCCCGGGTCTTGGCTGTGGGGGACCCAGCAGGGCTGAGGGACTCTGGCCCCTCAGCAGGGACTGCCCCTCTGGGCGGGCGCAGGGCAAAGCCTCAGGTCCTCCGGGGTGCGATCTCCATCGGAGCACCCCAGCCAGCAGTCCGTGGAGAGCGTGAGGGCGTGCCAGGTCACGGGCATTCCGTCTTCCCTGGGTCCTGCTCGGGAGGCGCCTTGGGGAAGTTCTTTGCGGGCTTCCAGAGACTAAGGTCTCAGGAGGCCGAGCAGGCAAGATCCCCAGCACTGGCCGATGGCCTGTGCAGCAAAGTCCTTGGGAAGTCCGAGGCCGGTCCGGGGCTGACAGGGCCAGGGTCCGTCCATCCTGGTGGCCTCAGTTGGGGGAGGATTGAAATGAGGAGGGAGGGGCCCAGGTCAGCGTCAGGTGCTGGGAAGTTGCGCTATAGAAGCCCCGCCGATGGCCCGTGGGTCCTTCAGCCAGCCGATGTGGCTCGGGGCCCAGGGGAGGGGCTCCGGAGGAGAGAAGGCGCGGACACGCTCAGCCCAGAGCGGTTAGTGAGCCCCAGCCCACACTGGGGCTGGGGATGGAGGGGCTCTAGGGACATGGGGCTCTTGGTGTGAAGAGAAGAGGAGCCTTCCAGGGGACCCAAGCCGGAGCAAGCCCTTCCATCAGCCTGGGGAAAGGTGGGGGGGGGGGTAGAGGGCAGTGCCCGCCCCACAAGGACCTGGCAGTCTTTAGCCTCACCAGCCTGCGCCCCAGGGAGAAGCCCAGAGCCCTCCACCCAGGGCAGGGACGGAGCCCCACGCTCGAGGGTGCTGGCTCTCGGTCAGCTTTCTCAAAGTTTTCTGCCTCTTGCACCTTTCTTGCCCTTGTGATAAAATAAGATGCGGTCTTGCTTTATATCAGCTCCTAAGGGGCAGGAGCGCAGAGCCCTAGGAGGGTCCAGGACCCTGCCCTCCCGTCCCCCTGCGGCCCGCAGCCTGGAGCAGGGCTGCAGACCCAGTTTCTTCTGACCGTAGGGCTTCTGGAGGTTCATATTCCGGAAGAACCTGCCGGCAACCTCCCTCTGCCAGATGGACTTCGCTGTCCTGGGCCTTGGGGACTCCTCTTATGCCAAGTGAGTAGGGACAGGCCAGGTTGCTGGCCAGGGGCACTGTCCTTGGGGTTCAGTGCAAGGTGTTGGGGGACAGGTGACCCAGCCTCCAGGACCCCCAGCAGACTCTGGACTGGGGAGCCACCGTCACCACCTCTGATGCTTTTGGCATCTCCACGACACGTCCTCGCCCAAAGGGGAGTTACTTTGGGCCATTTCCCAGGTGAATCCATGGCATCAAGTCACAGGACACCAGAGCCCGTGCTGCCCACAGGCCTGCCCCTGCCCTGCGTGGCCCCCAGCCGGGTGGCCACGGCAGCCTCCCTCTCCACGCAGGTTCAACTTTGTGGCCAAGAAGCTGCACCGCCGGCTGCTGCAGCTCGGGGGCGCCGCCCTCCTGCCCGTGTGTCTGGGCGACGACCAGCATGAGCTGGGGTGAGTGTGGGCCGGGCACCTCCTGCGGGCCGGCCACGAGCGGGGGCTCCTGATGCAGCGGGTTCCCACGCCCTCCCTGCAGGCCCGACGCCGCCATCGACCCCTGGCTGCACGACCTGTGGGAGAAGGTGCTGGGGCTGCACCCCATGCCTCCTGGCCTCGGCGTGATCCCTCCTGGAGTCCCGTGAGTGTGGGCCTTGTTGCTTCAGCACCCACGGGTGCAGCAGAGGAGCCTGGCTGCTGGGCCCGCTGGAAGCTCCCCGGGCCTGCTGCCGCTCTGACTAGCACTTGCCTGCGCCCCCACCCCCACCCCGCTGCAGTTTGCCGTCCAGCTTCACCCTGCAGTTCCTCCGGGAGGCCCCCAGGCTGTGCTCTGCAGAGCAGCACGTGGCCGGAGTGGACCCTCTGAGTCCCCCTTCAGAGCTGCAGCCCTTCCTGGCACCCATGCTCACCAACCAGAGGGTCACGGGCCCCTCGCACTTCCAGGATGTTCGTCTCATCGAGTTCGACATCACGGGCTCAGGGATCAGGTGAGAAGGGCTTGGGACACCGAGCAGGTGCCCAGTCCGACCCAGGGACCACAGAGGCCCCAGCGTAGGCCCCAGCCCTCCCTGGACGCCGACTCGGACCTCTGCGGTGCCCTCGAGCCCCAGCACCCTTCTGCACCCACCGTGGCTTTCCCATCCAGCTTTGTGGCCGGCGACGTGGTCCTGATCCAGCCTGAGAACACAGTCAGACACGTCCAGCACTTCTGCCAGGTGCTGGGCCTGGACCCCGACCAGTGCTTCACGCTGCAGCCTCGGGAGCCAGGTGAGCCTCCGGCCCAGCCACACCCTCACTCCCCATCCCCCCACCCCCGCCCGAGGCCCCAGCTCCCCCTGGTCTCCTGCTCCCTGCTGCAGATTCCCCGTGTCCTGAGAGGCTGCCCCAGCCCTGCTCCCTGCGGCACCTCGTGTCCAAGTACCTGGACATCGCCGGCGTGCCGAGACGCTCCTTCTTTGAGCTCCTGGCCTGCCTGTCCCCCCACGAGTTGGAGCGGGAGAAGCTGCTGGAGTTCAGCTCCGCCTCGGGCCAGGAGGCCCTGCACGAGTACTGCAGTCGGCCCCGCAGGACCATCCTGGAGGTGGGGACCGGCGGGCGGCAGGGTGGCGGGCGGCAGGGTGGCGGGCGGCAGGATGCCCCGGCCCAGAGCCACCGGAGACCCCGCCCGCTGCCGCCCCCCTGAGGCTGTGTCTGTGCAGGTGCTCTGTGATTTCCCCCACACGGCGGCCGCCATCCCCCCAGACTATCTGCTGGACCTCATCCCCCCGATCCGGCCGCGTGCTTTCTCCATCGCCTCCTCTGTGCTGGTGAGGGTCCGCTCAGGCTGGGGTGCAGGCCAGCAGCCACGTGGGCAGGCGCCCCCCCGTCCCGTCCCCCAGGCTCACCCCACAAGGCTCCCGGTCCTTGTGGCAGCGGGCGCCCCCCATCCCGTTCCCCAGGCTCACCCCGCGAGGCTGCAGATCCTCGTGGCTGTGGTGCAGTACCAAACTCGCCTCAAGGAGCCCCGCCGGGGCCTCTGCTCCTCCTGGCTGGCGTCTCTGGACCCTGGGCAAGGTGACCCCCGCTCTCTGGACGGCCGGCCTGGGTCTGGGCCCTGGTCCTTCAAGCCTCTTCACGCCATCTCCCTCCTGCAACAGGCCCTGTCCAAGTGCCCCTGTGGGTGCGGCCGGGGGGCCTGGCCTTCCCGCAGACCCCAGACACACCTGTGATAATGGTGGGGCCCGGCACCGGTGTGGCCCCTTTCCGCGCAGCCGTCCAGGAGCGAGTGGCCCGGGGTCAGAGGGGTGAGTGAAGAGGGTGCGCGGGAGCATGGGGGTGGGGCCGAGTCTGAGGGCAAGTCCAAGCTCAAGGCCCCTGCCCTCCCCAGGGAACCTCTTGTTCTTTGGCTGCCGCCTACGGGACCAGGACTTCTACTGGGAGGCCGAGTGGACAGAGCTGGAGAAGAGGGGCTGCCTGACCCTGGTCACAGCCTTCTCCCGGGAGCAGGTGGGCGTGTGCAGAGGGCGGGGCAGGGTTGGGGCTGGGGCGGGGCCCAGACTCACGCCGCCTGCCCTGCAGGAGCAGAAGGTGTATGTGCAGCACAGGCTGCGTGAGCGAGGGCCGCTGGTATGGGAGCTGCTGGACCGCCGCGGCGCCTGCTTCTACCTGGCAGGGTGAGCCTGGGCAGCGAGAGGGGGGTGAGGGGGCACCGGCCCACAGGACGTCTGGGCTGTGCTGAGCCCCGTCTGGTCTGTCCCTCCAGCAACGCCAAGTACATGCCGGCAGACGTGTCCGAAGCCCTGATGTCCATCTTCCAGGAGGAGGGCGGGCTCTCGGGCCCTGACGCGGCCACCTACCTGGCCCGGCTGCAGCGCACCCTGCGCTTCCAGACCGAGACCTGGGCCTGAGGAGCCGCCGGCCCCGAGGGCCCCAGCCTGCTGCCCTGTCAGACTCCGTCCAGTGGGAGGGAGGCCATCCCCCCTGCACAGCTGCAGGCCTCTGGGGCCCCCTCTCAGCCCCAGCCCTACTGCTGCCCGGTCCTCTGGCTCCAGCTGGCCTTTCTCCACTGGCCCCAACTCAGGTCCTGCTTGAGGTGGTGACCCAGGAAGGCACTGGCAGCCCAATGGGCCTCAGAGAGCTTCCCTAACCACCAGCTTCCATACAGTGTAGGGGTCCAGGGTGCAGGGTTCCTGGCAGGGCTGAGTGTCCCCTCCTCTGCCCTGGGCGACAGTGGGTTCCCAGTCATCCTGTCACACATGTGCCACTCCAGCCACCAAGCACCCCCAGTGCCCCTTGGGGCCCAGGTGAAGGCAGGGAGGCCCTGGCCAGCACATGCCACCCTCACCTGGTTCCAGGGAGTCTCGGCAATAAATGGCGGGTGCAGGGCAGCTGCTGCTGACCTTTCCTCCTGCTGTCCTGGGGCCTCGGGGGCGGTGGGCCTGCAGGTCTGTGGGGTGGTGGGGGCATGTGTACCCTGCTCAGCCACCTTGTCAGCAACACTTTGGTGTCTGGTTCTCACATAGTGGGGGCCAGTGGTTTGCCCACCTTGTGCAAGCTCTGCAGGTGGGGGTGGTCTAGACAGGACTCCAGGAAGGAAGAATGTGGGGATCACCCGGCCAGGCTGATCCAGACCATCCCTTCAGCCTGGGAAGAGGAGCCAAGGCCACAGAGGGGGTGTGGCCTGAGATCAAGGCGGGGCGGGAGGGAGGGGCTGGCCTTGGTCTGCCCTGGGACGGGCGTTCCTGCTGCTGGTTCCTGTTGGAGCGGTCGGGCCAGCTGGCCTGCCCACACTGCAGTGGCCTGGAACCCATTTGCCTAGGTCAGTCGCTGACACGGGTCAGCCATGGCTGCATCCAGGCTTGGGTGGACCCAGTGGGGACAGCAAGGGAGGGCCTGGAGCAGCGGGGAGCCAGCACAGCCCCAAGGCCTCAGGGACATCCACCTTAGGAGTGTGGAGCCCAGCACGGCTGCTGTAAGGTCAGTGCCAGACCCCGTGCCGGCCCCAGAGGCCACAGTGACCTTCATGGCCCCTCATCCCACTGCCACCCTGGGGTCCCACCCCACACACCCTAACTCCTGCCCCAGAGCCCCTGTTTGTGGCCCTACAGACCTCAGCTGTGGGCTCCCTGGCCCACCTGCAGCCTCCCCGGGCCCACTGGCGCAAGTGCTGGCAGAGGAGAGCTTAGACAGCCAGGCCCTTGGGACTGCCCTGGATGCCAGGACTCCAGACTGTGAGCCCCTGCTGGGGGCCACAGCAGCTGGCCCTTGGGTGGGGCCCACAGAGCAGGAGGAAGACGAGGAGGAAGAGGAGTGCCCCATCTGCACAGAGCCCTATGGGCCTGGGGAGCACCGCCAGGCCCTACTGAACTGTGGCCACGGTCTGTGCTCTGGCTGCCTGCACCAGCTGCTGGGCACAGCCCCCAGCACCCACCTAGGCGGGGCCCGCTGCCCGCTGTGCCGCCAAAAGACGCCCATGCTCGAGTGGGAGGTGTGCCGGCTGCAGGAGGAGCTGCTGCAGGCAGATGGGCCCCCACGGCCCCCGAGCCCCACGCCCCCTGCACCTCTGACCCAGGGCTCTGGGCTGTGGGCCTCCCTGGAGCACCGGTACCGGCTGCGCTTCCTGGCAGGGCCCGTGGGTGGCCGAGGCTGCCTGCCATTTCTGCCCTGCCCACCCTGCCTGGGCACCTCGCTCTGGGCCCTGCGGGAACGGGGGCCCTGCGCCCGCCGTCTGGCGCTGCTGGGCCTCCTGGCCCTCGAGCTGCTGGGCCTGCTGCTCGTCTTCACGCCACTCATGCTGCTGGGGCTGCTCCTTGCGCTGCTGGGCCACTCCGGCCGCTGAGCGGGGCTGCCGCACCTGCTCCCAGCACCTCTGGCCTGGCGGCTCTGACTGGCCGTGTCTGGGGGTGTTGGCACTGTGGGGCCCGACCCTGAGGAGCTTCTCCCGCCAAGGCCTGATAACCAGGCCGAAAATTCCAAGGTCAACCAGGCGTTAAGCCTTCAATCAAGACCCAAGACTTGGCCCAGGGTCACCCAAGAACCTATGTTCAGCTCCTGACCCGTCCAGGGACCCCCAACTGCCCTGCTGCCCAGGCAGTGACCGGCAGTACCTGAGGACAACACTGACAAGAGACTGCAGCCCGGGCTCCGTGCACCTGACACAGGCCCCACACTGACACGGGGCCCTCCTGTGAGAGAGGCGCAGGGGCACAGACTGGCAGGGGCCCAGCCCTTGGAGAGAGTGGGGCCCTGGGCCGGGCTGTGGGCCTCCCCTACCCGCTCCTGCCCGTGTCCCCCATAAGGGCCAGTGTGTATGCCCTGAGGGTCAGGGCAGCTGAGGGGAGAGGCTCCTTCTGTGCAAACTCAACCCACAAAGAGCCTCCTTCCCGGCCAGGGTGAGGCCCAAGGGGGCATCGCTAGTGACTGGGGGCCTGGCATACGTCCCCAAGCTCCAAGGAACAAGGGCCCAGCCAGGCCTTGTAGCCGAGTGTTGAACCGTGGCTGCTGATGGCCTGCCGCCTTTGATGCCGGGGCCTTCATCAGAGGGACGACTCGGGCACAGCACTGCCTCATGGGCTTGTCGGTGACACCACGCACTGGGCTGGCCCAGGAAACGGCTCTCAGTAAACAGTAGCAGCCGCTGTAAACACGGCTGCCCCACGGCCGTCCTCACCTTCACCCTTTGTCTGCATCCCAGCAGCCCTGCTTGCTCCACACCCCTGCCAAGCTTCCTCCAGGTCCAGGTCATCTGACTGCCAGAGGGGTGGCTCCTGGGTCCTTGTATCCTACCACAGCTGTGGCCAGCCACTTCCCGACCCTAGCTCAGACTGGTCCAAAGGTCATTCCCATACAGCCGAGGGTCAGCTGTTTACCAGAAGGCACGCAGACCGGGCTGCTCCCCACCTAGCCCCCCACATTCAGGGGCTAGTGCACACAGAACTTCTCTTGGCCCGGCTGGGCCCACGCTGCACACCTGCCCATGCATCCAGGCAGCTAGCTCTGCACAGCTGTGTGTGTGTGTGTGTTGGGGGGCACACAGCGGGGCCTGGCTGTCCTGAGTGGCAGGCCCAGCCCAGCCTGGCCGGCAAGCAGAGGAGCCGATGCCACTCAGTGCCGGGCCCAGTGTGGGTGGCCCCACCTGGGCTGCCGCCGTTGCCCACCCCGGCTGAGGGTGCAGGCCACCACAGTGGGCTTCAGTCCAGAGACAAGGTGCAAACTTTGGCGGAGTTTTAATGGCAAAGTTGGCTGCAGCGAGAATGCCACACAAGTGGGGGCCAGAAGCTGTGACAGGTGAGGGGTCAGAGGGGGACGTGGCAGGGCCGGACCCCTGAAGCAGCAGCGGGAGGACCAGCGGGCGGAGGCACACGGCAGCAGGCGGGCGGGCACTACATGATGGAGCAGGCCGACAGCGGGTTCCGCACGCGGCAGGTGCAGGCGGCCCCACAGTACTGCCGGAAGGTCTGGTAGCAACTGCCCTCAGGCTCACCCCCCCACTGACCACCAGACGGGGCGGTCAGTGCCTCAGGCGGCAGGCGGCTCAAGATGGATGTGTTGACGGCCAGCGCCGCCAGGCCGTAGTCAGTGAAGAGCACAGTCTCGCGGCGGCAGGCGGGGCAGGAGATGAACTTGTACTTGGGGCAGGACTCGTAGAGGATCTGCAGGCACTGCTCACACACAGAGTGCAGGCAGGACAGCACTCGCGGCCGCCGCTGGGTGACGTTGTACGTGTGCCCACAGGTCGGGCACTCCAGGGGCTCCCCCGCAGCTGGGGGTGCCACCGCCGGGGGCCCAGAGGCGGCAGGACTGGGCCGAACCACGTACTGATTCACGATGACCTCGCCCACCGGCGCCACACGGGGGAAGCCCAGCTCTGCAGAGCTGCCTTTGCGGGGCCGCCGCGGCAGGGGTGGGGTGCGGGGCGCCCCGTCCAAGGCGGGCATGTCCCCCCCACATGCCTGGTTGACGATGATCTCTGTGTCTGAGGGCCAGGCACGCTTGGGGGCCAGGGCCGGGGTGGGCCGGGGGGCAGGTGGGAAGCAGGGGGCGGCCGCCTGCAGCTCGGGGAACTTCTCAGGGTGGACAATCTTCATGGCCTCCATCTTGAGGATGACATGGGGGCCCTTCAGGCAGGACATGAGGAGGCCCGGCCAGCCACTGCCCACGTCGGGCCCAGGGTCAGCCGGCATCCGGCTGTCTCCTGTCAGACTGGGTGTTAAGGTGGGAGGGGGCGTTGGGTGGGGCCGGGGGGGAGGAGCAGGGGCAGCATCCTGGTCCCGCCAGGCCTGGTGGGGACCCCGGCCACCCCGAGGACTCTTGGGGTTGCCCAGTGAGAGCTGAGGGGGCAGGGCCCCTCCTAGTGGCCACAGTGGCTTCTGTGCTCCAGTCCTGGGAGGAGGAGGAGGAAGGGGCGGGGGAGGTGGAGGGAGGCAGGGGCAGGGGGGCGTGGGAGGCTGCCCTGGGCCGGAGGTCTGGCCCAGGGGCTCACCCAGGGTCTCTGGCTGCTGAGGCTGGCGAGGGGGCTTTGGCGGGGCTCCCCCTGCAGCCGAGGTCAGCAGTCCCCGGGCTGGGACATCCGGGCAGGCAGGGGCTAGGTGGGCCCCATGACTCCAGGGCAGCGTGCCCAGGGAAGGCAGCTAGCCGGAGCCCTGGCTGCGGGTGGACCAGGGCCGACGGCTCGTCGGTGGCGGGAGCAGGGAAGAGGCCTGGATCAGGCCCGAGCTGCAGGTGAGAGACGGCGTGAGGGCAGCGCCCCGGCCCACCGTCACCCTCGCCCTTGCCCGGCACAAAAGACCCGGCGCCCAAACCTCTGACCCTGACCCTCGCCGGCCTCGGAACCCAGCCCCCTCCCAGTCCCCGCCCCCAAGGCCCGACCCCTACTGGGGTGGGGAGGAGCAGCGCCTCCAGGCCCGAGGGCGTCCCGCCCCGCCCGCGCTCACCTGCCCCAGCCTGGCGTCCCCGAGCAGCGCGCCGCCGCCGCCGCCGCAGAGGTTGTCTCAAAGGCAGGCCCGGATGCGGCGCCCGCGCTTCGGCCCTGCGTCTCGGATGGCTCCGGCGGCGACCTGGGGCAATGGCGCGGCCGCGGCGACTCCCGGGGGCGCGGGGCGCGGGGCGCGGGCTCGGTGCGGCGCGGCGGCGGCAGGTGCGTACGAAGCGTGGCGCGCTCTGCGGCGGAGGCGCGGGGACCGCAGTGCGCGCGGCGCCCGCCCGCGCCTGCAGCGCCACCCCCCGTCTGGGGACCCGCGCGGGGTCCGCGGGGCGGGGCCAGTCTCTCGGCCGCCCCTCAATCCGCAGAGGGCCCGTCGCCCGCTCCCAGTGTCGCCCATAGCCCGCGGACCGCGTGCGGGTGAGGACTCCCGCGTCGCCCCTCCCCCGACCCCGTCCCCGCCTGGTTCCTAGTCAAGTCCCCCACCCCTAATTTTCCTTTCCTTCTGGAAAGGAAATCTTTTCTCAGCCCGAAGCCTCACAGTGCCAAAGGGAGGGAAGGGGAGCCAAAAGGTGGTCCCTGGAAAGCTGGTTCCCAGGGCTCCTCCTAGAGACTGCCAGTGCCTCCCCATCCCCCACCCAGCAGAGTCAGGGTCTCTGCTTGTCCTTCCCCTCAGCTCTCCGTGGGGCTGCTCCAGAGTTTTCCAGCTCACAGGGACATCCAGGCTCTGCTCGGAGCTGGTAGGCTGAAGAAGGGCAACGTGGCCCTACGAGGGTGAGCAGGGTAGGCAAGCATGTATCAGAGGAGTGGGCAGAGGGACAGACAGGAGTTGGGAGAAGACTCTCAGATGGTTGGACAGATGGGGGGAGTGAGGGGTACTTGGCAGGTCAGACAGCTAGACAGGCCACTGCCGGGCAGCCAGTGGAGGGTGCGCGCCTACCCAGGCTGGAGTGGCCCTTTTCTGCATCCCATCAGGTCCACACGTGCCCAGGGGCCGCACAGTGGAGTGCCAACCGGACCCCACCCAGCAGAGAAGCTCCATTCCTTTCTGTTTCTTCCTTGGACCAGACTTCCCTGTTCCCTTGGGATACACCCTCTGCCTGGTCCATGGTGGCAACTACAAGGCAGGGGACCAGGGCTGCAGGGGCCTCCAGTGCCACTGTCCCCTGACCAGCCATGGCCACCACGGAGCATGCCTGCAGTCTTGGAACCTACACTGGGCCAGCTTCTAACCCTGGGCTGTCCCAGTCCCTTCAGGCCATGGCCTCCTCCACCCTGCTGGGCCAGGCTGCCTGTGGTCCCCACGTCCTGCAGGGCAACAGAGCCCAGAGGCGTCAGTATTCCTGGTGAAGGAGTCCGCGGGCAAAACAGGCTGGAGGAGTGTCCCTGGCCCTTGGGGCAGACTTTATGCCCTGTGTGACCTCGGGCTAGTGTCTGGGCCTGCTTCCTGTCATTCAGCAGGAGCAGGTGAGAGAGGTTCGCAAGTGAGCAGGTGCCTCCTGAGAGGGGCAGTGAGGGCTGATGGTGTCGTAGCATGAAGGGGGGCAGCTGAGGCCTCCTGGCCAGGTGACACTTCGGAGCCCCACCTCTGCCAAGGGTGCCGCACAGCCCCGCCACTCACGCGCTGGGCGCGCGCAAGGGGCACCAAGCTCCGCCCCCGCACCGAGGTCCCGCCCCCACGACGAGGTCCCGCCCCGTGAACGCCCACGCATCGAGCCCGCCGAAGTCCACTCCTCTCGAGCTCGGTGGTTCAGAGCTGGGGCGGCCCAAACCCGGTTCTAGGCGGTCCGAAGCCAGCAGACCTCGAGTCGGGTCTTTAAGGAAACCCTCGAGCGCGGAGGCTCATGGGGAATAAAGTTTCCACAGGCCGCCTCGGCTTCTTCCGCGCATGCGTTAGGCCCGCCTCTCCGCGAAGGGCGGAGTCTGCAGGAACGGTGGGCGGGGTTTGCGGCGCCTGCGCAGAAGTACCCCGTGGACGGCCTTCTAAGTTCGAGGCCCACTTCCCCGCCCGTCCCAAGGTGGTTGGCGCATCGGTAGAACTCGTGTCCAGACCAGTCCGACCGGACCCACGCATGCCACTAGGATGACCCTGGCTGCTGAACCACGTCTGATTTGATCTCGCCCTTCCTGCGGGTTCCCTGGGGCACCAAGGACTGGGGGTGCCGGCCCGGCCACACCTTACGCACTGGGTCGCCTTAGGGGGCGCTCACAAGTGCCAATATTGACAGCCATTGTCACCCACACACACAGCCGCCCTGTGTGGCAGTGCCACCTTACAGATGCCGGCGGGGGAGGCAGATTTCAGGGCCAGGGGCCGGCTCGCTGGCGGGGGGGGGGGGGGGGGGGAGCCCAGGCAGCCGTGGGAGGCCGGTTTCAGGAATGTCCCTCGTGCGTGATGCGTATATTGCCAATTGGAAGATGAGTGCCTTTTAATCAGCGAGAGTGAGTAAACCAATTTTTCATCAGCTACAAACAAAAATGGCCCTGGCTGGTGTGGCTCAGTGGGTTGGCCGTCCACACACAAACTGAAAGGTCGCGGGTTCGATTCCCATCGGGGCACATGCCTGGGTTGTGGACCAGGTCCTCAGTTGGAGGCATTCAAGAGGCAACCGATTGGTGTTTCTCTCCCTCCCTTCCCCTCTCTCTAAAAATAAATAAAATATTTTGTAAATAAAAGGTAACCCTCTGAGTGGTCTGTGCTCTCAGACGGCTCTGTCTCTGTCTGCCGGGCAGGGCCCATGGTCCCGGTGAGGACCTCTGCCCTCTGCCACGAAGCAGGGGCTCGGAGGCGTGTGGGCGGCGGCTGGAGTGCCCAGACCCCTGGAGGCTGACATCCGAGGGCCTGACCCCAGGCTCCCCACCCCCGCCCTCTTCCTGCGCCCAGGGCAGGCGCGGAATGTGTCCGGACTGAGTCACCCAGGCCGCCCCTCGGAGCCGGGCCACCGCCACCACCCACCTCCGAAGAAAGGGTGGGTGGCCGCTGTGCAGGAGGAGCTAAGCCTCCCCGATCCTGGGAACCCCATTTCTGAGTCCCGCCCATGGCCCCACCCCTCCCGGGAAGGGAAAGGCTGCCGCCAGTCGCTCTGCTCACAGGCACTGGGACTTGGCCTGGAGGACGAGAGCACGGACTTCCACTGCCGCTTCAGGTGGGTCCCGGGCCTTCCCTGCACTGGGGCTCCCCTGTGGGTCCAGCTCAGCTGCATCCCCAGACCCCCCACCCACACCCAGCTCCATCCAGGGCACCACCACTCAGGGAAGCAAGAAACCCCTGGGGGCCTGGGGGCTGGGAGCCTGGTCCTCACTGTCCCTCACAGTTGGTGCCCACTGATGCAGGCCTGGCTTTTCCTGGGTGGTCACTTTCCTGGGCTGTGGCCATTCCCCTGCGCGGAGCCAATAGTCTCCTCTGCCCACCTCTGCCAGGCAGGCCATGGACCCCCACGAGATGGTTGTCAAGAACCCGTACGCCCACATCAGCATCCCCCGGGCCCACCTTCGGCCTGACCTGGAGCGGCAGCTGAAGGCGGCTCCCTCCTCTGTGGAGCCGCAGCCTCTGCCTGTGGGTCCCTGCAGCCTGGAGCCCGCCCGCCTCCTGCAGCCCGTCCAGGAGGCCCCAGGACCCAAGGGTGCCAAGGGCGCCAAGGGTGCCAAGGGGACCAAGGGGGCCGCCTTCATCAAGGGCCAGCAGGCCTGGCAGCAGCCCGGCAACCCCCGCTGCCACGGGCAGCGCCCCGCAGGACTGACCTACACGGGCCTGCCGCCCATGGAGCGCGGCGACGACATCGCCCACCACTGCTGGTGTTGTCCCTGCTGCTCCTGCTGCCACTGCCCTCGGTTCTGCCGCTGCCACAGCTGCTGCTGTGTTGTCTCCTAGCCTGGGCCCTGCGGGGCTGCGGGCCTGCCCAGGACACCCCCACGTCGCAGGCCCAGAGCTCCGTCGAGCAGCCGCAGCTGTGGGGGGGTGTGGGGCAGCCACCGGGCCACTGTCACGGGCATTGGCCACTTCACCCCAGACAGGGACATCTGTGTGCCACAGAGGCCAACAGCTCAGCTGAGACCCCTGGAAAAGGAGCCCCGAGTGCTGGCCATGGGGGCAGCCTAGGGACACCCTTGACCCCCCCTTGACCCCCTCACTCAGGGCCAGGGCCCAGGAAATAAAGCAGAGTGAGCTCTCGCCAGGCGACTCCTTTGGGAGGGGACCCGGGCTCGATGACCCTGCAGGCCCCCGGCCTCCGTGAGACATCTGGGGCAGGGTGCCACCATGCCGAGATCCTCTGCCCTGCACCACAGGTCTCAGACCCGCCCAGAGGCGGGCGGGAGGGTGGGAGTGTGTCGTCTGTCCTGGCCCGGCCTGGGTTCAAGCCTGGAGACGTGTCAGTCTGTGGGTCCGACTGCAGGGGTGCTGTGCACGGAACCTGGGGGTGCAGCCCCCGGAGGCCTCCAGGAGGAGGACCGGGTCGGGAGGCAGGTGGTGGGTGGGACCGGGGCTGGCAGGTTTCTGGGAGGGGGAGCCCAGGCGGCTGGAACGAGCCCTGTTCACCACCATGAATCATCGCCCTACCTCAGCTGGTACGTTCTGGCTTCCTAGGAAACAGCCAGCTCCTGGGCATCTACTGTGGGGCACTAGGCCATGCCGATCGGCCCTGTCCAGCTTCTGGGGCCTGGGCCTCCGGGGGCAGGTAGGTGCAATGGTGCTGGGGGGAGGGGCGGCGGCCCCAGGTCACCCGCCTCCCCCACGCCCGGCGAGCGCAGGATGCCTGCTCAGGAGGAGGTGCGGGAAGCTCAGCTGCTGGGCGCGGGGTGGCCTCACTGCCGGGGCGAGGCCGGGATGCCGGGGCGAGGAGTCAGCGGAGCCCCGAGCTGGGCACCCCGACACTTCCGGGGCTGGGCACACGTGGCCCGAGGAGGAGGAGGAGGTCGAGCTGGCCTCACAGGACAGACAGGTCCTAGAGCCGGCCCTCCCCTGACCCACAGCGACTGGCCACATGGCAGGACTGGTCTCTGGGTGTGGACAGGCATGTCATCGGCCTGACTGTGCGGGTCCTTGGGTGTGGCCAGCCCCCACCAGAAGATGGCCCCCACCCAGGCCGGCCACAGAAAGCTGTCCGGCCAGTCCGAGAGGCTGCTGGTGGACCAGGGCAACGGTGGGTGTGCGGACGGGCCACTCTGGCCTTTGACTTCCTCCCAGCCAGCTGGAGAGGGCTCTGGGGGTCCTGACCCTGTCCCTTCTCCACACATCCCACACTGCTATGCCTGTGTCCCTGTCACTGGGCAGGCCTTGGAAGGAGGTGGCTCCGGATAGGAGTGCCCAGGGCTGCCCATGGTGTCATGCACCTCAGAGAGCTTCTGGGGGGCCCAGGAGTTGTGGGGACCTCTACACCTGTGCCTGAGCACCCCTGCAAGCCTTCTGGGGCTGGTCACCACCCCATGATGAAGGTGCGGGGGGCCAAGCAACCAGGACTCTCACACTGGGACTGAGCTGGGGCGCAGCAGGTCCCTCGGGGCTCTGAACGAGTGGGGGTCCTGGCAGGCTTCCTGGAGGAGGCGCTGCTTGATCTGAGAGGACAAACTGGTATTGCCCAGGATAGAACCAGAAAGCTTTTCTACCACGGAGCGGGAGTATGGGAGTGGGGAGACGGGAGGCAGTGTGGGGCTGGGGCTGGGGCTGGGGCGGGGGCAGGCTGGGGCAGGGGCAGGCTGGGCAGAAGAAGTGGGAAGTTGGGCCAGGAGGAGCAGCGCAGCCAGGCCTGGGTTTGGGGTTAGTGGCGCCCCATCTGGGCACCAAGGGGGCGGGGGCGGGGCAGATGGAGGGGCGCGAGTGGATCTAATTGCAAGTGCTTTGTGGCTGAAAGGGGAGCCCGCCCGCCTGCAGCCACCACCTGCCTCCCTGCCTACTCGGGCTCGGCCAGTAACGTGAGCCCCAGGGAGGGAGCCGCAGGGCGCCCTGGGTCCCCTGACACCCGGCCACCCTCTGGCTGGGCACAGCCACCCAGCAGAGCGGATGCAGGTGAGAGAGGCCTGGGCTTGGGCAGGCTGCGGTGGGTGGGGGCCTGCAGCAGTGCAGAGGGGCTGTGGGGAAGGGCCAGACAGCTGGCAGGACGCTGGCCCTCGGGGACCCGGGCTGCACCCAAACCCTGGTAGGCGCGCTGCCTGGCCTCCAGGCCGGGCTCCAGGTGCGGGGGCCCGACCACAGAGGATGGCCGCAGAGGAGGGCGGGGCCCGCTGCAGCTCCCCACACCCGCCCCCCCAGGATGCTGCAGCCAGAGGGTCTCCAGGCCGCCGAGGAGGGGACAGCCGCCGGGGTCCGGCGGAGTGACTGCATCATCTGCTACTCAGCCTACGACCTCTCGGGGCACTTGCCCCGCCGCCTGTACTGCGGCCACACCTTCTGCCAGGCCTGCGTGCGGCGCTTGGACTCGCCCGTCCAGGAGCAGCGCTGGATCCCCTGCCCGCAGTGCCGCCAGAGCACGCCCACGCCGCGCGGAGGGGTGGCCATGCTGGACCTCGACCTGGCCGCCTTCCTGGCCATCAAGGCCGAGCGGCAGCCGCCTCGCGTGGAGCCCCGGCCCCCCGCGCCCTTCAAAGGGGGCACCACCATCACTCGGCAGCCGGCCACGCTCTGCCCCACCTTGGGGCCCCAGCCCCGCTTCCCCCGGTCCAGGTGCTGCTGCTGGGGCTGCAGCGCCCTCTGCTGGGACCCCCCGGCCAGCCCCGAGGCCTGAGCTCTGGCTGGGGCAGCTCTCACCTCGTACCTGCCCCGGTACCTGTGACGGAGGCTCGGAGGCTCGGCTTGCCTGGAGTAGCCTGCGAACTGAGGGTCCTGGGGGCCGCCCCCCGTGGACACCCCAGGTGGTGGCCTAAGTTCAGCGGCAGTGGCCACAGTACTGTGAGACTCTGCATGGACCGGCGGCCGCCTGTCAAATCCGGCTGCGATTCCCAGGCCCCAAACTAGCCTGTGCGCAGACGCGAGACAGGGTCTGTCTGGTTGGAGCTTTCGCTAAGCCCACCCCAGGCCCTGGCTCTGCTCAGAGGACAGCGCCTCAAAGGGTTTGGTGGCCGGTCCCCGGGGCCTGGCCGAGGCTGTTCGGGTCCTGCTGGAGTGTGACCGTCCCAATATCTCAGCTGGGCGTGGAGGGAGGGCCACCTCCACCAGGCAGCCCCGTGGAATTCTTCCTCTCAACAAAGCTCACTGAGCCCCCGCTGCGTGTCCGCTGCTGTTCCGGGGGGGTCCCCTGCAGGCATGGAGTCACTGCTGTGACGAGTGTCCAAGGAGAGGGTTAGCTTTCGGCCCAGGGAGGGTGGGGACTTGCCCGAGGTCTCGCAGCTCAGCAGGGCCACACCCACATGGAGCCCTGTCCCGGACCTCGGATTCCTTCTGACTCCCGGTGGCCACCACACGGGCCCTTCGGAGGGGCTACGGCAGGTGCTGGAGGCTGTGGGCACAGACACCCTGCAAGTGAGGCCGCATGTCCCCACTATCCCCACCTGGGAAGCAGCTGTCACTCAGGATCCCACGGGAGGGGCTGCCGGGCTGCCCTGGGGGGTGGGTGGCAGGAGAGGAGGGTGCAGGGAATTTGCTGAGAGGACGCTCAGAAGCCCCCTCCTTCCCTGGGGCAAAGTCCCCCAGGCACTCGGGCTGCTGGGCAGCGGGCACGCGCTGTGCCGCGTGGAGCCGGCAGGGCCCCGGGGAGACCAGGCCTGGTGGGGGAGGAGCTGCTCCTCTTCCCAGCACCCTAGGAGCAGGAAGGGAGTGACCCCAAGAAGGGGCGCCCACAAGCAATGGGGCCAGTGGGGCACAGCTGTGGAGAGAGCAGGGCGGGCCTGGCCTCCCGGCCCAGGTGGGGTCAGGTAGAATCCCGACACCCCCTACGGTTGCTGGTTACAGTGGGCTGAGCCTTCGGGGGAGGGGCTCCTCCCGGCCCTGCCCAGTGGCTCAGGGGCAGGCACCCCGCCCCCGGCCCCGGCTGGTATAAAGGTCTCTCTCCCAGCGTCAGCTGGGGTCAGGGTCGACCAGACCGAGACCCGGACGCTGCCCTGTCCCGTTGGGCAGCGCGCCACATCACACAGCGTCACGGAGCGTCACACAGTGTCACACAGGCACCCTGCCACGCCCCCGTCCTGACGCGGGGCTGGAGCTCTTATGCCGGGGTGAGGGTGGGTGTGGACGGGGCAGGTGCCTGGACTCCGGTGGGGTCCAGGGGGCCTCGCGCCTGGGTGAACATTAACGGACGCAGAGCCGGTCACGTGCATCCCGGTCGGCTCTTTGACCCGGGGCTGCTCCGGCCCCGAGTCTCCTCCCCACAGGGGCCCCCTCACACCCCACAGAGGTAGGAGCTTTGAGCACCAGGAGAGGGCCCGGGGCCACTGCTGCCCTCCCAGGGCAAGAACCAGCCTGCAGGCAAGCAGGAGGGAGGAGTGACAGAGGGCCTCCCAGTCCCAGGCCCTGGGGACCGGGTGGGGGTGGGGGCAGAGGGCTAGATGGGGGCCCCCCCCACAGCAGGCCAAGGAGAGGAGCCCTGAGGTTCAGCTGGGCACCCAGGGTCCTTGGCCTGCCTCCGTCACTGGTGTGGGGCCCCTGTCGCTCGGAGATGGCACCGTTGGGTGTCAGAGGCCGAAGTCCTTGTGCCCTGGACCACCCACTGGGCCTGCTTCCAGCCAAGACCCGAGAGGGACCTGGGCAGCCAGGGCCCCCTCGAGTCTGCCCCCTGAAACTGCACTGGGCTTGCCCGCCAGCCCCCTGAGATCACTGAAGCCGTCTGCCCCTGGGTGGAGGACGGGAGGTCCCCCAGGTGGCAGGGTGGGAAAGGAGGAGGCTGCTACACTCTCGGGTCGGGGGTCTGGGGGCGTGGCGGGGCAGGGGCAGGAGAAGGGTCTGACCTGCCCTTCCGCCCACAGATCCGGGCGGGGCCAGGGTCTGCCTCTGCCAGAAATCCATGCCAAAGTCCCTCGCCGGCGGCCACACCAACCTCCCCACCCTGGACGCGGTCGGCCTGGTGGACCAGAGTCTAGGAGATGCCGGTACCAGGAGCCCAGCCCTTGGCTCTCCCCCACCCTCCGGGGCTCTGGGCAGGCAGGGTGGGGGGGCCCAGGACAACCCCAGTCAAGGCCAGATGAACCGGCATCCCCCACTGCCTGCTTCTGCCCCTCACCCCGATTCTGTGTGCCGCGGTCCTCCCCCACCCCCTTCGGAACCCATCTGGGGGTGTCCGGGAAACAGTTAGGTCCCTGGCTCTTCTTGACCCTGACCCCTGCAGGGACATCCAGTTCCGCCCCTGTCTTGGAAGAGGGCAACATGGACCCCTGGGCCCTCTCTCAGCTGAAGGACACTGACCAGTCCTGGACAGGTGGGTCTGGAGGTGCCAGAAACCTGGCCAGAGGGGGCTCTGACTCCCCAGAGTCTGAGCAGGTGAGGGTCCCTGGGCAGAGAAAGCAGGAGGGTGTCTGCCCCAAAGGGGAGCCCCCCCATGAAGACCACCCTCTGCTCTGCCCCATTCTGCTGGGCTGCCTGCACCTCTTCCCTCCTGCGGGCAGCTAGGCTCCTGGGAGCGGGGAGGACAAGGGGCCGCAGGCCCGGGTGGGGGGGCGGGGCACGCGCTGTGGGAACCTCTGCCCTGCGCCCGCAGAGCTCGGTGCAGCCCGCAGACTGCTGCCTGGGCTCCGCGTCTTCCTCAAGGTCCGTGGGCTCCTGGGCGGCCTCTACCTGTTCATCTGCTCGCTGGACATCCTGAGCTCGGCCTTCCAGCTGCTGGGCAGTGAGTGGCCAGCAGGGTGGCTGGGGCGGGTGTGCAGCTGGGCCTTCGCGGCCTCACCGCACCTCTCCTGGGCACAGGCACAGTGGCTGGAGACATCTTCAAGGACGACGTGGTGCTGTCCAGCCCCGTGGCCGGACTGGTCGTCGGGGTGCTGGCCACAGTGCTCGTGCAGAGCTCCAGCACGTCGTCGGCCATCGTGGTCAGCCATCGTGGTCAGCACGGTGGCCTCCAAGCGTGAGTGCACCTCCTGTCCCAGGATGGTGGGGGGAGGGCGGTGCGGAGGCTGATGCGCCCTGCCACCCCACAGTGCTGACCGTCCAGGCGTCTGTGCCCGTCATCATGGGCATCAACGTGGGCACGTCCATCACCAGCACCCTGGTCTCTATGGCGCAGTCGGGGCACCGGGAGGAGTTTAGGAGGTGAGTGGGGGGCGGGGCCGGGACCACCTTCCCAGGGAGCCCAGGCCGCAGACCCCTCCCATCGCTCTGCTCCTTGCGGCCGTAGGGCCTTCGGTGGCTCGGCTGTGCACAGCATCTTCAACTGGCTCACGGTGGTGGTGTTGCTGCCCTTGGAGGGCACCGCGGCCCCGCTGGAGAAACTCAGCGCCCTGGTCCTGGGGGCCACCAGCCCACAGGCTGGCGGGCACACACCGGACTTCCTCAAGGTGCTGACACGGCCACTCACACACCTCCTTGTGCAGGTGAGGCCGGTGGCTGCCCCTGGAGGCCCCACATGCCCAGGGGAGGATCTGGGCCCCGCAGTGGCCTGAGCTCCAGCCAGGCTCCTGAGAGCCCAGCACAGGGTCACAACCCCTCTGTTCGCAGCTGGATGTGGACCTGACAACCAGCAGCGTATCGGGCAATGCCACCAACAGCAGCCTCATTAAGCGATGGTGTGGTGCCAGGGTGGACACGGTGAGGTGTCTCGGACCACTGCCCACCAACCTGCTGAATGTCCCAGCCCTGCTGGCTGAGCCTGCCCTGAACCCACCCTGTCTGTCCGCCCAGACCCCGGGGAATAGCAGCAACTGTGGACTGACCGCCGCTGGCCCCTGCCCTGAGAGAAGGGCTCAGCCACCGCGGAGCAGCTGCCCCGCGAGGCCCCGTGACGCCCACCTGCCCCCGCCTGCCCCACGGGAGGGCTGCCGCTCCACCACTCACACTCCCTTGACTTGCCACCAGCCTACCACCTGTTCGCAGGCGCCCCGCTCACAGACCTGGCTGTGGGCTTCATCCTGCTGGCCGGCTCCCTGCTCGAGCTGTACACCTGCCTGGTCCTCATCGTCAAGGTGCTGAACTCCATGCTGCGAGGCCAGGTGGCCCGGGTGGTGAGGACAGCCACCCACGCCGGTGCGTCTGGACACAGGACAGAGGCTGGGAGCCCGGCTGGGGTGGGGAGGCTGGGCTGGGGGTGACCTGGCTTCCTCCCCAGACTTCCCCTTCCCCTTCGGCTGGCTCAGTGGCTACCTGGCCATCCTGGCGGGCGCTGGCCTGACCTTTGTGCTCCAGAGCAGCAGTGCCTTCACAGCAGCCGTTGTGCCGCTCCTGGGTGAGCCTGGCGGGCAGGCGCCCAGCCGCGGGGCCTGAGGCGTGGGATGTGGGCTCAGGGCCCTCGCTGACCTCTGACCGCACCAGGGGTTGGCGTGATCAGCCTGGAGTGGGCATACCCCCTCTTGCTGGGCTCCAACATCGGCACGACCACCCCAGCCCTGCTTGCTGCCCTGGCCAGCCCCTCCAGCGTGCTGCTCAGCGCCCTCCAGGTACTGCCCTCCCCACACCCAGCCCTCAGCCCCCTGCATCCAGGCTTGTGGAGAGGCAATGAGAGGCCTGTCCAGGCCTGGCCATAGGCTGAGGCTCCTCTGGGACCCACTTCCAGCTGCCCACCCAGACCAGCTGCCCCATCTCCTTGGACCCAGGGATCCTGTGGGCTTCCCTGAGACTGTCAGCCCTGCTGCAGTCCTGGGTGCCCTCAGCACCTCTCTCCCTCTCCCTCCACCTCCTCACCCTGTGCGCCTGCTTGCGTTCCATCCAGGCCTCCTGCCCCTGGGGGGCCTGGAGCACCTCTATTCTACCCCCTCCAGGGTAATCCCCCCCACTGGTCACCTAAGCCCAACAGGCCCCTGCTGTGCTGGGCAGCCCCTGCCTCCAGGCAGCCCCCAGCTCAGCGCCCTGTGCCCTGTTCCGTACAGTCCCGCTGACTCCAGGGGTCCCCAGCTGCGGCAGAGCATCCCTCGGCTGCTGCTTCTTCCTGGGAGGCGGGCGGGCAGGTGCAGCTCCCGGAAGCCCAATCCTGCGGGGCTACTGCTCACAGGAAGGGAGAAGCCCAGGCCCCTGCCAATCCCCAGCTGCCCACTCAGACCCTCCTGAGCAGGGCCCTGCTGCACTCCCCGCCAGGACGCCCTCACTACCGCGCCCACCAGCACCGACTCCTCAGGTCCAGCAGCCCCTGGACGGGCATTTTTCCTCCACTGGGGCGCTGCACCTCCCCCTATAGGAGCCCTTCCCGAGCCTGGGGCTGAGGGCTGGGTGGCCAAGCCCACTGAGGGATGAGAAGGAGCCGCATCACTGGGCATGAAGCATGGGCAAGCTAAGCCGGCCCTGGGGGATGGGGGTGGGGCCACTGGGTCCAGGCACTTGCTTGTGGGCAATGCGGCCACGCCCCAAAGTGGGGGGTGGTCCAGGGGCCAGAACCTGCGCTCCCGGTGGCGGTGGCGGGTCTCTGCCCCTGGGCTGCACCTAGGGATGGCTTTGGGCTTCCTGCCCTTTCTGCCACGGTGGCTGAGCAGCAGCCTGGGAGGCCCAGGGGGCCCCGTGTCACGGGCCCTGCCCGCCCTCCTGCCCCCAGGTCGCCCTCATCCACTTCTTCTTCAACTTGGCTGGCATCCTGCTGTGGTACGTAGTGTCGGTCCTGCGGCTGCCCATCCCGCTGGCCAAGCGCTTCGGAGACCTGACCGCCCGCTACCGCTGGGTGGCAGTCGCCTACCTACTGCTCAGCTTCCTGCTGCGGCCCTTGGCCGCCTTCGGGCTCTCCCTGGCGGGGGACACCGAGCTGGCTGCGGTCGGGGGATCCCTGGTGTCCCTGGTGCTCTTCGTCGTCCAGGTCAACGTCCTGCAGCGGCGACGATCAGCCTGGCTGCCCCGCACCCTTCGGTCCTGGGCCTGGCTCCCCCTCGGGCTGCGCTCCCTGGAGCCCTGGGACCGTCTGGTGAGCCGCTGCCGCCCGCCGCCCGCCGCTACCAGGGAGGCCCACTGCTACGAGAACCCCGAGATCCTGGCTTCCCAGCAGTTGTGAGAGGGGCGCCCTCGCCCCACACTGAGCTCTGGGTTCCCTGGGGGATCCCAGCAGCAGCGGACTTCGGAGGCAGCCGTTATTAGCAAATAAACGAGTTAGTGACCCAGATGTGGGTGGTCTTCCCTCTCGGACAGGCCTTGCCTGGGGACCCCCTGTCCCCCGCGTAGGGGTTGCAGCAGCGCCTTTGCTGCCCCGAGCGGACGCTCGGGGGCGCCAGCGAGCTCGCGTGGGAGCGGACCTCCCCGCAGGGGTCGACACACAGGGGACCCCCGCCCCGGCTGGAATGGTTCCTCTCTGCGGCCCCCCGGGGCAGAAGGCACAAGCAGCGGTCGGGAGCATGGAGGCTTCCCGAAGTAGAAATCTGAAGTCCAGGGAGGCGGGACGCAGCCGAGCCCTTCACGGTGGGCACAGGCAGGGGCGCCGGTTCCCACGCCCCGCTGCCCGAGGCCGCGCGCGAAGAGGTGGGCGCGGGCAGCCCTTCCGCCGCCCAGCCCCACTGTCGAGGGTCGACCTGGAGGGCGCCACCCACCCGCGGCGCGGCCTCCCAGCCCGGTTGGCGTGCGGCGCAGTGAAACGGGGACCGGGTGGCCCCGAGGCGCCTTGTCTCCCCATCCTGGTTCTGCCTTTTTCTCTCTGCAGGCGGGGCGGGGCGCGGGGCTGCCCGAAAGGTCGGCAGGGACCAAGACCTTGCGCCCTTCTTCCGGGCCCCCGGGACTGCCTTACGGGCCGCCAGGGCCTCTCAGCCCCGGAGACCTACCAGGAAGCGGCGCAAGACCTCCCGCCGGGCGAGGAAGCGCGAGGCTGAGCGCGGCGCCCCCACCTGCAGCTGGCACCTGCCCCTCCCCCCTCGGCCCCCGCCTCTCCCCGCGGTGGCGCGTTGGGTTTCCACCCAGGAAGAGTTGTCTGCCGCCAGCCGGTAACCAGACACCAGGGAAGCAGCCTGGGCCTCCTGCCCCGGCAGCCCAGGGCTGCCCACCACCTCAGCCCGACCCCGCACACCATCAACCAGGAGAGAAAGCCTCAGTGGACTATGGCTCTGGCCCACAACCCTGCGCTGACGGGGGCCAGAGAGCCACCCCTGTCGGGACCTGGGGTGCCATGTATTTCAAAGGCAGCTGCTGCCCTAGCCGACACCTCCTCCCAGTCCATAGGGGTGATTCCCCTATGGACTGGGAGGGTGGGAATGGTCAGGAAGGTCGGGGGTAGCTTGGGCCCATCGTTTCTTGTGATCCAGTCCTTTTATTTTATTTTTTTAAAGATTTTATTTATTTATTTTTAGAGAGAGGGGAAGGGAGGGAGAAAGAGAAACATCAATGTGTGGTTGCCTCTCATGTGGCCCCCACTGGGGACCTGGCTGGCAACCCAGACATGTGCCCTGACTGGGAATCAAACGTGAGAGCCTTTGGTTTGCAGCCCACACTCAATCCACTGAGCTACACCAGCCAGGCAGGTCCAGTTCTTTTAATATCCCTCGGGTTCCTTCAGCCTCACTCCACGTCCTGTCCCCAAAGCCCTCTCCGTCCCCCTCCTGTGTCCCACCCACAGTCCCCTTAGGACCCCCTGTGCCCCAGGCCCTCTGTCCCTCACCCCTCCTGTGCACTGCAGTTCCCTTCCCGCAATAAGCTCCTAGGCCTCCTGAGCCTGGGTCCACCAAGGGAAGTAACGTGTGCTCCGTGAGCCATGAGGGGGCTGGTGGGAGCAAGGCCCCTGGAGCAGGCCTGTGCACCCCAGCTTGGGTTCCCTCCACAGCTGTGACCCCAGGACACTCCTGATCTGACATCAGCCTCACGGTCTCTCTGATAGGAGCCGTGGGGAGGGTCCTGGAGGAGCTGGCCTGGCCGGTTCCCTGGGGAGCCTGGGGAGGCCGTGAGAGGGAAGAAAGTGCCCCCAGCACCTCTCCTTCCGGGGCGGGCGAGGCCGCCCACAAAGGCTGCCTGCCAGGTCCTTTGAGGCCACGAATGACTGTCTGCCTGCTGCCCAGCTTGGAGGTAACACACCCTCCCGCAGGGACCATGGGCACCCGTGTAAACAAAGCCATCCTTATGGAGGTCACCAACAGCTGCTGGCCACACGGGAGGGCCAGGCGCCCGGTGCTCCCACAACCCTGCCTGGCCGTCCCTGAACCCTCCTGGCCTGCCTCCCACCTGGCCACTGGCTCTCCCTGGGCCTACTGCTCCACATCGGGGCAGAAACGCCCTTGGCTGAGGGTAGGGAGTGCAGGGCCTTCCTCACCCCGCCTCCTGCAGCAGCAGCAGCAGCCACAGTCCTCAGGCCTCAGCCCCAGGACCACAGGCAGGGTCCCCGTCCTCCTTACGGCGGGGGGGGGCAATGGACAGGTCAAAGTGGACCACCTCATGCCACGGAGAGCTTGGGGCTCACACCAGGGCGGGCGTCACCACCTATATTTTGTTCCTCTCAAGTGGGGGTGCCATAGTTAACTGGCAGTCCTGTGGGTACTGGCCACGGGGAGCAGGGGCCTTTTCCAGGGGGTTTCTCAGGCCACACAGCCTTGTTGAGACACCTCCACGGGCAACCTTGGCGGGGCCCTGCGTGCCTCCCTGGGGGGAAACCTGATCCATTCCCTCTCCTGACCACTTGTGGCAACTCTGCTACCAGGCTGAGGGGCCTCCCCAAGGCACTGCCAGGGCCCGGCCACAGCTGCGTGGGCAGCTAGGCTGGCCACTGTGCAGACCCAGGATGCCAGGCGGTGACCCAGTGCCCCCCATGGGCCATGGCCTGTGGTCCACAGAAGCCAGGGCCACCTTCCTGGCGAGCTTGTGGGGGACAGGGCTGGTCTTCTAAGCTCTGCTCCACCTGTCCTGCACTTTACATGGGGACTGCCACCCTGAGGAGCCAGCTGCAGACCACTCTCCCCGGGACACAAAGGCTAATCGGCGTTGAGTGGGCCGCTTGTCCCAGCAGCTGGCCCACAGGCAAACAGCTCCCCTGGGGATGGGCTGTGACCCCACAGTTGCTGCGGTGCCCGCCTGGTGCAGTGCATACCAGGCGAGGAGAGCTCCTTCCCCGAGGAGAGGAGCAGCAAGGCACCGCCCCTAACACCCTCTCCCTGGGGGGGACAAAGGTAAGAAGTTGACTTGAGAAAACCACAATCCAGTTTCGCAGTGGCCACTGCCAGGAACTGTCCAGGGCAGACCTAAAGGAGTGATCTGTCCTTTTTTAAATGTTACAAAAATATAACACATGTACTGCTGTTAAGCCAACATAGCGATGGTGTAACCATATGTAATTTTAACTTTTTTCCTTCCTAAGTTTCGCCTCATTGTCCCCCACCCCCAGTTTAAGCAGGATAAAGTAAAGGCATGTGTCTGCCCAGGCGCTGATCTGCGGTTGTGTTGGTGGCAAAACCTGCACCAGGACATTAACCGCGGTGGCAGTCAGTAAGACCGGAACTTGGTTTGGCACCCTCAGAACCGGAGTTCTGGCTAAAAACTCAGACCCAAGACTCAAACTTTAAGAGAAAGTTTATTTAGAAAGTCACAGAGGTAGAAGAGAATAGCAGGAGAAATGGGTTCAGGAGACGAGATACTGAGTCACAGGGAGAGCACACTGGGGGCTTCTAAGGCCGGGACTTCAGGGGAGGCCCAGGGAGGAGCCCAACAGCATATCCCTCAGCTTTCCAAGTGTGTCTTTTCAGGTTCCTGGTCTCTACTGATTACCAGCGCTAGGGCAGGGGTCATTAGTCAGGGCCACCGGTCTTGATGGCAGCCCTGATGTTGCTTGTCTGGTTTTGTTGCTTTTCTGGACTGGAGCTGAAATACAGCTGAGGCCCAGATGTATTGCATGTGGGTCAGCAATACACTGTCCTCGGGGCTTCACGCTTCAGGGCTGTTTTCTGGCTCCTTGTCTGTTCCCGTCTACAGGGATCTAACCCGCAGGAGTGGCAACCTGCCACGGGAGGGAAGGTCGGGGGAAGAACTAAACCGTGTGACCAGGGTTATGAAAGGTCAGGGGATCTAAACCACAAGGCCAGCTCCCCGGGGGCCAGGTTTGGGCCGCTGCTAGGCACCCAGGGCTTTCTGCCCGGATTCCCTCCTCTACCTGACCTATTGTCTTAGCTGGGCTTGCGTCTAACTGCCTACCAACCGTTGGGGCAACGGGCCCGGAAGCAGCCCCAGGTGGGGGCCTGCCCGCGAGGGAGGTCCGGGCGCCGCCCTCGTATCCACGGAGCTTGCTGTGGTGGAGCTAGGCACCTAGGCGACGGGGAGCGGGGATACTTCGGTCTCCACAACAAGTTCAAGGCGGCCGGGCCCGGACCCGCTCCGCCCACCCCGCCCTTCCCTTCCCCAGCTCCAGCCGTGGCGCAGCGGCGCACGTGCTTCCTCACCTGACCGCTGCCCCAGCGGACGGGCGGCCCAAAGAGGGGTGCCGCCGCCCCTGGGACCCCGAGCCCTAATTGTCTCCGTTGTGATTGGCCTCGAGCCCCTCCTCTACCCCGAAACCCCGCGGAGTGGCCACACGTGCCCCCATTTGGAGGCTGCCGGAAGCAGCAGCACTCCAGAACACACTCGCCCACCGCGACCGCGGAGACTTCTGTACGCGTGCGCGCAGGACACCGCCCTGTTGGCCTTTCCCGGCACTGGGGCTCGAGCTTGCGAGCTTGCCTCCGCCTTCGGGCCTGGGGGTCGGAGCCCGCGCGCGCGCGCGCGCCCCCGTACCCCGCGCGCGCCTGCAGCACTGAGGCGGTTACCAGGACGCTGGCTCCGTGTAGCCAATAGCGCCCGCCTGTCGGCTGCTCTCCGGAATCAGCCAATGAAGAAACAAATCAATCATTTGAAACACCCAATGGACAGAGCACCGCAACGCAAGGGGGGGGACTTTGATAGGAGGAGCAGAAGCCGTGGCTGACCAATAAACAGCAAGTGGAATTGGGAAGGCAGGCGTTAGGAGGCTTGATTGATCGGGCTAAAGCCAATCAAACGACGTCGCTTTCATCCTCGTTCTGACAGCCCAATAGGAGGCTAGCGGAGGCGTGCGCGACGGATATATAAGCGTTGGCGGAGCGTCGGTTGTAGCATTCTGCGCGCCCGCGTCTCGGCCTTCTCTTCTGTCTTTCCGCCCGCGCCGCCGCCGCCATGAGGGAGATCGTGCACCTGCAGGCCGGCCAGTGCGGCAACCAGATCGGCGCTAAGGTGGGCGGTGGGGCTACTGGGCTCTGCGCGGGCGAGTCAGCGGGGCGGGATAGGCGGACAAGAAAGATGGCGGCGGGCGGGCGGGCAGCGCCCCCGCATTGCGGCCCCGCGCGGGGCCGGGGTTCGGGCGGGGTCCTTGGCGCGGGCCCTTGGGGATCTGGCCGGCAGCGCGGGGGAGGGGAGGGCCGCGCCCGTCCGGGGCGGGGCCGGCCCCGGGCACCGCTGGAGTGACTCAGCCCGGGCCCGCCCGCGTCTCTCGCAGTTCTGGGAGGTGATAAGCGATGAGCATGGCATCGACCCTACCGGCACTTACCACGGGGACAGCGACTTGCAGTTGGAGCGCATCAACGTGTACTACAATGAGGCTACCGGTGAGTCCGCATATCCCTCGCCCGTCCCTTTCCTGCCGCCCTACAGCCAGTTTCTCGCTGACGCTCTTTCGGCCCTCCTAGGTGGCAAATACGTGCCCCGGGCCGTGCTCGTGGACTTGGAGCCCGGCACCATGGACTCCGTGCGCTCGGGGCCCTTCGGGCAGATTTTCAGGCCAGACAACTTCGTCTTTGGTGAGTCGCAGATGGGGGCTGGATGGCGGTCTGTAGCCAGGAGTACTCAAAGGTCAAGGGGTGCCCAAGGTCACCACCCTCCGAACCGCGAACACAGGTCCTGATGCACACTGCTTTGAGCAGAAGTTAGGGCCCCTGGCTGGACTCTCTGCTCCCCCTTCGAGTCACTCAATCCCTTTCAAACCGGCTTTGGGAGGAAGGGCCATCTGTCCCATCAGGGAAGAAGCCGCGGATGTAATCTCTCTGCCGAGGAGGAGGCTGTCGTGGCTTATCTGTCCTTGGGAGGCTTATCTGTCCTTGGGAATCGGCAGGGGCTCTGGTGGGAGGGGCTGGCTTATGCTTAAGCTAGGGCAGCTCGGTCCCTAACTTAATTTTTGACTGAGTAGGTTTGGAGGTCCCTGTGGTTTACCTACAGAGTGAGCTGTGTGTCCCTTCACCATGTTACTGGGCCTTTTTGGCCCAGCGATCAGTGGTGATTCACGGGTTGAAGAGTGACCTGCTGCCTTTCCTTGCAGGCCAGAGTGGTGCTGGGAACAACTGGGCCAAGGGGCACTACACGGAAGGAGCAGAGCTGGTCGATTCGGTGTTGGATGTCGTGAGGAAGGAGGCTGAGAGCTGTGACTGCCTGCAGGGCTTCCAGCTCACCCACTCCCTGGGTGGGGGGACTGGGTCTGGGATGGGGACCCTCCTCATCAGCAAGATCAGGGAGGAGTACCCGGACAGGATCATGAACACCTTCAGCGTGGTGCCCTCGCCCAAGGTGTCGGACACCGTGGTGGAGCCCTACAACGCCACTCTCTCCGTCCACCAGCTGGTGGAGAACACAGATGAGACCTACTGCATTGATAACGAGGCCCTTTACGACATCTGCTTCAGAACCCTAAAGCTAACCACACCCACCTATGGTGACCTGAACCACTTGGTATCAGCCACCATGAGTGGGGTTACCACCTGCTTGCGATTTCCTGGCCAGCTCAATGCTGACCTGCGCAAGCTGGCTGTCAACATGGTGCCCTTCCCCCGCCTGCACTTCTTCATGCCCGGCTTTGCCCCCCTCACTAGCCGGGGCAGCCAGCAGTACCGGGCCCTGACGGTGCCCGAGCTCACCCAGCAGATGTTCGACGCCAAGAACATGATGGCTGCCTGCGACCCCCGCCACGGCCGCTACCTGACGGTGGCTGCTGTTTTCAGGGGCCGCATGTCCATGAAAGAGGTGGACGAGCAGATGCTTAATGTTCAGAATAAGAATAGCAGCTATTTTGTGGAGTGGATCCCCAACAATGTGAAAACGGCCGTCTGCGACATCCCGCCCCGGGGGCTCAAGATGTCCGCCACCTTCATCGGCAACAGCACGGCCATCCAGGAGCTGTTCAAGCGCATCTCGGAGCAGTTCACGGCCATGTTCCGGCGCAAGGCCTTCCTGCACTGGTACACGGGCGAGGGCATGGACGAGATGGAGTTCACCGAGGCCGAGAGCAACATGAACGACCTGGTGTCCGAGTACCAGCAGTACCAGGACGCCACGGCCGAGGAGGAGGGCGAGTTCGAGGAGGAGGCCGAGGAGGAGGTGGCCTAGAGCCGTCCGGCCCCGGGACGCGTGGAGGCCGTGAGAACTCTTTATTCACTCACAACCTGTGCTCTGATAGCCCCGCCACAGGCGCACCTGCTCTTCCTCCTGTCCCGGCGTCGTGTGCTGTGCAGACTCCACCATTAAAGCATTTTCATAGCGTGCGGTTTCTCCTCTCCAGTTCCTCCTGGTAGGCCTTGCGGGTGCTGTTGCCAAACGTCATCGCAAAGTGGCCCTGCATGGCTGTGAAGGGCAGTGCCACCACTGAGCTGCATCTGGCCTGGGCCAGTGGCTGCTGGCAAAGTGTGGGGGCAGTTCACGCAGGCACCTGTCCCCACCGTGGGGCAGCCTGGTCTCAGTGTGAGAAGCTTTAGGCTCCACCCATGAGGGGAAAGAGGGCGGGGACATTTATGGAGGAGGGTGCGCCTGGGAAAACATCAGCTTGACCCATGTCTGCGGAGCAGCACAGGTAAGGGGCCTCCGCCACCTGACCCTCCTCACGGTCGCAGCACTCACATGGTACAAACCCCATGTAGAAGGGTATCAGGCCCTGGCTGTCGTAGATGGTGTTGCTGGGCCAGTATGTTCGGGGCAGCCTCTCGCCCAGGGCACAGACGGGGTTTCTGAGCAGGAACTGGGGAAACATGCGTGGCTGCCAGGTGCTGCCAGCACCAGGTAACCGCACAACATTGCCCTGGTGGGGGCGGGGCTGGCGCCTTGGCAGTGGTTGGTGTTCAGGCATCTGTGTCTTCACCTCCCCACAAGGCTCCGGGGCAGGAATCCTGGACTTGCACCAAAGGGCAGGGACCAGCACCTAAGGCGGTGCAGAGCAGCCCCCTTGGGTGAGGGCCAGCTGAGGCCTGGGGCCTGCATGGACCTCGCTGGACACTCGGGAGTGGGCCCAGAGTTGATGTCTTCGTACCTGACTTTTGTCAAACTCATCCATAGCCTGCGTGACCCCATTGCGGTAATTCATCCCCATCACCCAGGCAAAGCGGGGGATGAAGCCAGCATATCCTGGGGGAGGAAAGAGTCACGGTGCCACCTCGGGTCCCCTGCACCACCCACTTGCTCTTAGGGGCACGAGGAACATCTGCCCAGGCTCCTTTCCTCAGTATTAGCAGCTTTCCGTTGGGCATGGGCTGTCGGGGGCTTGCCACCCAGGGGAAGCCAGGCTCCTGGAGGGGAAAGGCCTGGGGCGGCCCTGCCTGGGCCTCTGGGGCTTGGGGGGCTGTGGCGTGCCCCTCCCACCCCGGGCCCTGGCACCCACCTGAGATGGCCTTGCGTTGAATCAGGTTGGGGTGGTCCAGCTGGGGCAGCCTGTGGAACTTGTCGACGTCTAGCATGTCCTGCTGGTGAGCCGGGGGCAGGTGCTCGTCCCTCCTGCAGTGGTACAGCTGGGGCGGGGCAGGACAGGGGTGATCGCCACCCAGCCACCCACTGGGTCTGCCCTGGTGAGGCTCGTCCCAGTGCGTTACCTGGTACTGCTCAGGAGCCTCGGCAGCGCGGGCAGCGCTCTTCCAGCCCTCCTCCCCTTGCGCCAGCCGCAGGCCCGGGTGTCCCAGGTCCTTGGAGGCCCTCTTCCTGCCCGGCGGGCACAGCGGGTAGGGTGGGTAGGGCATGTAGCCGGCAGGCAGCGGAACCTCCCTGGATATGTTCTCCATCCCTGGTGGCCCTTCGGCGGCCCCCTCCTGAGGTGAGAACCGGCCCAGGATCTCCAAGTCCTTGTAGGGCTTTAGACCTGTATGGAGGAGGCAGCGGTGAGCAAGCAGCAGAGGGCAGCAGTGGCGCAGAGCCACTGAGTGGTGGGGCCACAGCTCACCTGTGTAGTGGGGGATGTAGGGCTCGGCCAGGTCACGGCAGGGTATAAAAGGCGGCTTGGACTTGCTGAAGTCCTCGATGAACTTGGGCTTGGATATGGGGGACAGCACGGAGCAGGGACTCTTCTGCACACTGGGGTCTGTAAGCAGCCGTGCTGTGGTGCGCCCGTAAGTGTCTCCCACCTGGTAGCGCAGCTGTGGGTAGAAGCCAGCATAGCTGTGGGGGAAGAGGAGGGGCGGGGCTGGTGGGCGAGGGCAGGATCCAGCCTGCCAGCCCCAGGCCGGTACCTGGCCTCCACCACAGAATGGGGGGCATGGTGATCCCTGGCTCTGGGCCCTCGAGGCTTGAATGGGCAGCACACCCCAAGCACTGAGAACCTACATTGCTGTCACCACCATCGGATTGCCACCCCACTGCTGCCCAGCATCCAACCGTGGGCAGCCTGAAGATGACAAAGCTGGAACTGCCTGGAAGCGTTTACAGGGATGGGGACGGGGTCTGGATCCCGGCAGCGGGAGGCCCATTGCACCCACGGTGGCGCTGCTGGGAAGCTTGCCACGCAAGCGGCTAATAGCCAGTGACTGGGAGGCAGGTGGGAGGCTGCTGGTGGAAGCGGAGGTCGAGCCGAGTGCCATGCAGCCACACAGCAGGTAGGGAGAGCGTCTTGGTGAGGCCTCCCTCTCCTGTGTCTCCCGTCCCGACTTGACCCCAGAACCACTGTGAAGTTGGGGCTGGTTCCCTTTCCTCTGCTCTCTCGGCTCTGCCGTGGCAGGGGGAGACAGGGGCGGCTTTTTATGTGGGGGAAGGGGGGTGCTTGGTGAGTTGCGTGTAGGGAGTTCATCTTGGCCTCTGCCAGCTGCAGGGCTGCCCACCTGGTGTGGCACTTAGCGCCACCAGCAGGGACGGTAGGCCTGGGCCCCAAGTTCTCCTGCCCCTTCAGCCTTCGGGCCTCACCCCGACCCCAGGGACCAGGGCTGGGGGTCCCCTGGCCACCAGCTGAGCCTGCTCCCCCAGCCTCCCTGTGGGGCTGCAGCCCTTACCCGGGGACGTAGTGAGGTTCCGGTGTGAAGAGGTCGTGTTTCTGAGGAGCTGTCATCTTGCCTGAACTCCACTTTGCTGTGCAACTCCTCCCCCTGGTCGGGCTGCCCTCCCTAAAAGTCCCTGTTGCCTGGTAACGATTGTGAAGAGGCTTCATTGTTGGGCACCACCTGGCCAGGCTCGTCCTCAACCCTGCGAGGGCTCCTGGGATCCAGGCTGGACTCCAGGGCCCAGACAGGCAGCAGGCTGGGTGGGGGCTGGGAGGCGTGCCGTGGGGACCCTTGCGGTTCAGCAAACTGGGGCTGCCGCAGCCAAGCCCGGAGTCAGCCCTGTCGGGGAATACTGACCACACCGCCCCCGGGAGACCAGCCACCTCCCAGGGAGCATCTAAGGGAGCCCCCACGCACCCCAAGTCCAATCCTCAGACGAGAGGCCTTGAAGCTTCCAGTGCATGGTGATAAGCCCCCTTCCTCAGGGAAGTTGGGAGGTCTTTTCCCCGAAGCTGGGTGCTGTTTTCCATTTTTATATATTTTTAAAGATTTTATTTATTTTTAGAGACAGCAGAAGGGAGGGAGGAAGGAGAGAAACACTGATGTGAGTGTGAAACATAGATTGGTTGCCTCTTGCACGCCCTCAGCCGGGCACCTGGCCCTCAACCCAGGCGTGTGCCCTGACCGGGAATCGGACTGGCAACTGGTTGGTGGAATGATGCCCAACCCACTGAGCCACACCAGCCAGGGCCTGAATGTTTTTCTTTTTGTAAGAGAGGACCCTCTAACTATACAAAATATCACGAAGGAAAAGATTAGCGGGTTCGAGAACATGTCAGAAAACCAGCATAAACCACACTCAAAGGCAGACTACAGACTTGGGGAAAAGTTTGCACAACAGGTATGACGAGCAGACCGTATCCGCAGGAAAAAAACCTAGCCTGCCTGACAAAAACATAAAAACTACCCCCCCCCATAGAAAAACGCACAGGAAATGTGAACATCTTAAGGAAAAAGACAACACGGTCATCTTGGGGCAGACGGTCGAATTTAATCACGTGAATGTTGATGACGGTGTTTTCCAGGCACGCTGCCGGCAGGCCACGTGAGAGCCACCTTCGAGGTGGCCAGTGCTGCCCAGAAAGCCACGTGGGAACACAGACCGAGTCCGCACGAGGTGTCCCACTCTCAGGAACCTCCCCTGAGGAAATGACACTTGGCAGCGCCGCTCACGATGGCGGTGCCCACGTGAGCCGTCAGAGCCGGCCCACTTGTCCACCCAGGGGACTCGGGTCACAGAGCAGCATATGCAGCCGCTGCCGGTTCGGCTGTCAGAGAGCGCTGTGCACTGAGTCTGGGCCCTGAGCCCCGACAAGACCTGGGTCTTGAGCGAGTCCCTGGTCTGTCCATCTGTCCATCTGGAGTGCCTCCCAGGGTCATGCAGGGTCAGTGCCGGGTGGGAGGGATCCGTACAGGAAGATGCTCCTGCCAGGGCCGGCAGGGCCCAGGGGATGAGACCGGCTTGACCAGGCCCTGATGCTGGACTAGGTCAAGGCCGGGGCGGGGCCGGCAAGTTGCTCCACTTCGAGGGCCCTGGTGTGTGCGCACTGGCTCACACTCACTGGGCTCATCATTCTTCTGCACTTTGGCCGGGGAAGCCCCAACCATCTGACACCTTCTGGCCTCTGTGCTCCGCCCACGCAGCCCTGCCAGGCACCGCCCCCAGGACTGCTCCTCAGTCGGTCCGCACTGCCTGCGCAGGCCCAGCCTCCTGGCTTTCCTTCTCCCACAGGGGGCTCCTCCTCCTGCAGGGCACTTCCCAGAACCCTCCCTGCTGCCCTCGTGCTGCCTTCCAGCTGGCCCTGTATTGTGGGCATCGCACAGCACCCACTCCCTCTTCTGCCTTCCACCCGGTGTCAGTTCCCCCAGAAGCCTGGATACAGTGGACCCCCAAAGTCCAGAAAAGAAAGGTTGGGACAAGGAAGGGGGACAGGGGAAAGGAGATTAAACCAGGAGTCACTTGAGCTGGTTAGGGGTCCTCCCAGCATGTCAGATGAGGGGCACCGCTGGGGGCTCAACTGCCACAGTCTCCACCTCCCCACCCCCCAGGGCTGGACAATATCTATTCCTTCAGAATTCCCGGCAAAAGTGGTGGGCGGACGATGTCACAAAGCCTCACGATGTCACAGGTCACCGTGGAAGACAGCCAGAGACCCTGACAATGAATTTTGACCAGAAAGCTGTGAAATTCCTGGCAAACTTTTACATCAATGGAGGAAAACACTGGACCCACGGCCCCCTGAGGTTAAAGTCATTGGTGCCCAGTAACTTCAAGGGCGAGGGGTGGGGGGTGGGGCAGCTCAGGTGCACGCAGGCAGTGTGGGTGGACCGAGGCTGTCCTGTCTGCAGGCCCAAGGATGCTGCTTTGCGGGGCCCAGGTGCAGGCGCCGCCTGGGAGATGTGGCCCCCAGCGGTGGTGCTGGAGTCCCCGGAGGGCTCCAGGATGCACAGGGGCCCCCTCCAGGAGTCCCAGCAAAACTGCACCCGCAGCCTGAAGGAGCTGTGTGAGTGGGGGTCCCCAGTCCGGTCCGGGGAGGCGGGGCGGAGGCGGGAGGGGCCTTCTGAGAGGACCCAGGAGCAGAACCTGCTTCCCCTCAGGGCTGGAGCAACGCCCCCCCATCATGATCGACCCGGACGTCCCCGGCCCCACCAAGTACCCAGTGCCAGATGCTTCGGTGCGCGAATCCTCCCCGCACCCCCACTTCAGCATCGGCCGCAAGCACCCCGCCCCCGGTGGGTGCTCCTCACCGCCCCCTGCCCTCCTCCCCCCCCCCTCGCCCTGCGCCCCGTCTCCCCAGTCCTGGAAGTGGGGCCGCACCCCCAGCCTGCCCTTCCCAACGACATGGCCTCCCTGCAGAGGGCGGTGGCCGCAGGGCGTGGCAGACCGCGTGGTTGCAAAGCGAAAGCCCCTTCACACAGAAAGTCGATTTCTGTTGGGAGCAAAAGGTAGGGTGCTGGCCAGGAGCTGGGGGTGGGGCCTGTAGAGAGGGGGCGGGGCCAGTCCACTGTGGGTGGGGCTTGTGAGGGTTGAGAGCGGAGGGGCTTCAGCGGCTTCTTTACCTACAGTGGCCGTCGCCCGCCGACTACCGTCCACTCAGTGGCCCTGCTTTCCCGGCCTTTAGCTTCGGGGGCCCCCGCACCACCTCCAAGACCCGCGATGTGCGCACACGTCCAGGGCTGCTTCGGGCCCGCGGTGCAGGTCCCCGGTCTCAGCCCCTGTCGCAGCTTCCCAGCCCCGGCACCTACGACATCCTTCCAGGGTGCCGCCTGCGGGGCCCGCGTTCGCCCGCCTTCACCATGAGCCGCTCCCCTGTGTCCGCCTCGTGGGTCAGCTCCTGTAAGGAGGCCTCCTAGAGCGGAGGCTGGGGTTACGCGGCGGCCTGGGAGCGGTGTGGGTTGGGCAGCGGCGGGCGCCGGAGCCTGCATGGGGCTCCCACCTTGTCCCTCTGCAGCCCACACCCCCGGCCCAGCCGCCTACTACGTGGAGGATTGCTATAACTCGCGCTTCCCCTCGGCGCCCGGAGTGGTCATCCAGGGCGTGCGAAGACCCAAGCGCCATGATACAGGCCCGTTCTGCGCACTTTAGAGCCAGATGGGGAGTTACCGCATGGACCCTGCCTGCCCCGGCGCCTTTCCAGACCTCCCTTTGGGACTCAGCGACCCTAATCTGGACGTTTAACCCTCTGGCACCCCGGATCTATGCTCCTGGCCAGCTAACCATTCTGTGAGCTGTGGACAAGGAGAGCCCAGCCCAGAGCCCCCACCTGCTGTAAGAGATGGTTCTTCCGAACTCTGCTGTGAGCCTGGCTGCCATTCTCCCCGGGCGAGCTGTCCTGCAGAGGTGTCTTTCCCTGGCCAGGGGTCTCCCTTTGCTTCCCCTTACATGTCCTCTTCTCTAGGATGTGTGAGTGGCAGCCCGAGACTTCTGGCCCGGGACAGTATGGGAGGGGTCCTTCTGGGCAATGCAAGGCACTGGCTGCCAGTTTCCCCAAGAGTCAGGCTACTGGCCGAGCCAAGGAGCTGACTTTTGGGGCAGAGGTAGGGGCCAGACTCCCTGAACTGCTATCTTGAGAGGAGGTCAGCCTGACTAGCCACTGAGGGGGGCCTAGGTTGTCAGGTCCTGGCCCTCTCCCCAAACGCCTGCCCAGAGACCCTGCCAACTTGCCCAGGCCCCTGCAGGCCAAGCCACAGCTAACAGAGACCCCCTGGGCCCTCCCGAGTCAGGACCTTCCCCTGTTACAGACGCCTGGCCTCCCACCAAGGGGTGGACCCCAAGGCGGACTGCAACAGGGTGGTTATGGTGGTCCATATACTCTTCTGCAGGGAGGGCTCCAGGGAGCCCTCGAGTGTTCACCCATGCCTCGGGGTGTTCCAGCTGGGTGTGGAGCCCCAGCATGCCAGGTACTGCCTGGCTGACCAGCGCAGCCAGCAGGCAGCAGAGCTGTGGGAGCCTGGCCCTGGGAGCACGGCCCGGGTGTGGGAGCCAGGAGCCCTGCTCACAGCCGCACCACTGGCAACCCTGCTCAGTGGGATGAGCAGGAAGGATGGAGCAATTCCCTCCTGCTGGGCTGAGGAGAGAGGGCTTCCTGGAGGGGGAAGTGGGGGAATGGGCTTTCAAGGATGAGCAGGAGGGAAGGGAATTCCTAGCAGAGCGAACCTTAACATATGAAAAGGGAGAGGGTGTGGCATTTGGTGTGGGGGCTTGGGGACAGGGCTGTGGTGTGGAAGGGGAGCTGGAGGGATTAGAGGTACTGCAGAAGCTGGGCGCTTCCACCTCTGTGCGCTTCTGGCACCTCAGGGACTCACGCCCCAGCCCCAGCCTGAAGGCCTGCCACCGTAGGTTAGCCTGAGGTTAGACGCTCTCGGTGAGGAGAGGACCCTGTCCACTCCCGCTGCCGGCCCAGGTCTCCGTGGGCGCCACCCCAAAAGCACAGGCCCGGGGAGGGCATTTCGCACCCGGTGCAAGGAGCTTCTAGGGCGGCAGTGCTCGGTCCCCTCAAGCAAAAATAACGTGCTAAATGACCGTGGAACAGAACCCACTGGATATTCACCAAACAGGATTTATTCAGGAAAAAGGAGGGATGCGATGGGGCAAGTGCAGGCTTGGCGAGCACACGGAACGGACAGAAGTGAAGAAGGTACTTTGCAGAAGGAAGGGGGGGGGCGCGGGCCACCACAAAGGCAGAGCCCTGCTGTAACCTTAGCCAAGGAGACTGACCCCCATGCGGACAGTGCTTTCTCCGAGCGGAAAGAGGGAGGTGGGGAACAGCTCCATCCCTCTTGGAGCCTCAGCTGTCACCAGGAACTGGGAGGTCCCAGGAACTTGGCTGGAGGCCTGAGGGCCTGAGCACTGGTGTTTGTAAGGGCGCTTCCTGGCTCTTTGCAGTCATAGCAGAAACTGGGGGCTTGGCGGTGTATGTGGGGACCTTCACTGGCCATACTGAAAACTATAAGAATTTTAGCAGTTTTTCCTTCCGCTGACTCACCTAAAACTCGAGCAATGTGTCACATTTTAAGTAAATCTGCAGTGGGCATGGCTTCCATCCATCCCGGTCATTCTACAGAAGAAAGGTCTCTCCGTTCAGCCACTTAATAAACTCAGGTAAACGCTACCCGAGTAGAAGGCAAGGCAAATTTTTTTCCTTAAAAACCACCTGAGGTCGATTACAACCGTGGCAAACAGGACCCTCAGGCCTCCAGCAGCAAGCTCGAGTCCTGCTCCAATCTACAGGCTTCGGGAAAGTCTACTGGCTTTACTCTCGGAGGTCTCAGCCAGGGCAGTTGGAGGGTTTTGCCAAAAACCAGAGGTTGGGTTCTCCACATCCCTTTCAGGACGGCTGCATCGTGTGAGTCTCATCCAGTGCGGAGCAGGTCTCCGCCAACTGGCAGCTCAACAGCTGATACGAGCCTGGAAACCCAAACTGGCAGGCGTGAATATCTACGTCGGACTCTGCAGCCAGTCAGCGAGGGTCCTCTAACTGCGGCTCACCACCCAGTTTTCCTGTAGAGACCGTATGTGACTTACTGCCTATCAGAAACTCAGAGTGGCACCAGAGGCAAGGAAGGTGGCGCGGAGCCCGAGACAGTGGAGGGGCGGTGATGGGCAAGGCTGCGCTGGGCCAGAGGCGAACAGGCAGCTCCGGAGTCTTTTTATTTCCTCTCTTTAAAAGTTTAGTAGTAGCCCTGGCTGGTGTAACTCAGTGCAAACCACAGGTTTGCCGGTTCAATTCCCAGTCAGGGCATGTGCCTGGGTTGCAGGCCAGTTCCCAGCAGGGGATGCATGAGAGGCAACTGTACATTGCTATTTCTCTCCCTCTCTCCTTCCCTTCCCCTCTAAAGATAAGTAAATTCTTTCAAAAAAATTTTTTAAAAAGTTCAGTAGCCTCTGATAATTAGCCTCTGATAGTAGCCTCTGAAAACTTTGGTTTCATAAAACAACTTCAGATTCTTAGTAACATTTGGAAGCTACAAAATACCACTGGCAATGGGCACTCCGTTCATCTTTGCCAATTTTAGCACCGTTGTTGTCCACTGCGGATGTAAGAGTCAGTGTAGAAATCTCAATGGTCCCCCATGGTGGCCACCGAGATTCTGAATTACTTTTGGTCGGGTCTGTTCATTTAGTTAAATATGTCCATGAGGGGTGACCTCAGTTTTCAAACATAAGGGTGGCTGGAGGAGGGGAGGCCTTAACATTTTAAATAACCGAAACCCTACTTTCCAGAGATTTCTTTAGAGCAAGAGCCAAAAGCAATGCACACGACTCCGGCAGGTCAGATACCAGCCAACCTCTAGGACAGCCTGACCACTCGAGGGTCAGGGTCAGGCCACACGAGGGAAGCCGGGCCAACTGCTGGGCACTTTCAAGGAGGCAGTCCAGTCTGCAACTGAGCTGAAGGTTAGCAGGTCTCAGTAGAAGCAGCCCCTGTCCCAAAAAGAACGGGCCATAGAGGGAGTAATAAGCATAAACGAGATACAAAGTAGGGGGAGATTAAGAGTAGTGTGGGAAATGTAGAAGCCAAAGAACTTACGTGTACGGCCCGTGCACATGAACTAAGGTGGGGGAATGCTGGTGGGAGGGGGACGCAGGACGGAGGGGAATAAAGCGGTGAAAAAATGGGACAACCGTAATAGCATAATCAATAACATATACTAAGTAAACCATTTAGTCACACACATCGTAAAAATGTTTGAGACTTGAGATTTAAGGTAAAAATAGTATTTTCCTAACAATAAGTTGTCAGTATAACAAAAAACAAAAACGTATGGGCCGAAGACTAGCCTGTCTCAAGAAGCAGCCTGATTTGATCCCCGAGGTAACGGGCCTACCTGTCAAATCGAGGCCTTACAGGCAAACAAAAGAGACTTTTAACAGAGAACGGTAAGCAGTTCCCAGTAAAGCGCAGAGAGAGTCAGGCACGAGGCGCGGACGCGGGATCCAAGACAAGACCCACGCGAGGCCTCCCAGACCGAGGGCGAGCAGCGCCCGGGCCGCTCACCTGCCCTGACGCTTGGGCTCCCCCTCCCTGGATCCAGAATGAGCTCCTAACACGTCGACTGTAAAAGACAAGCGACTAGATGCCTGTCACCAAAAAGGGTTTCGTCCGCAAGAGGAAAACTGCAACTCAGCGCCCGCCGCCAAAGAGCTCACAGCAAGCACAAAGATGGAGCAGCGACTTGCAGACAGGAAGCGGAAGTTAGGGGCGGGGCTGGCAGGACCGGCGGAGCTCTGACGTAACCCTAGGGTGCTGCAATGGTGGGGGGGGGCTCTCGCTGTGACGCGAGGCGACCGCCTCCCACAGGGGCTCCCTTCTCCCTCTAGGTCTGTCATAAACCCGATTATTAACGTCAGGGGCCACTGTGGTGGTTTTCCATAAGACGTAATCGGCTGAAATGTCGGTTCTGAAATTCATCTAGCGGCTACCCCCGCGCCCCCCGCCCTCCGCCGCGGTACCCGCAACTCCCGCCCCGTCGGCTCGGCAAAGGTTCTTCTGTGCCCAGACAGAAGGACAAGGCCGGTGGCGGGACAGCTGGCGAATCCCGCCGGGCCGAGTTTGTGGCCTAGGCCCCAGAAGCTGCAAAGGCACAGGGCCAAGCTCGGCAGGTGGGCGTGGTCACGTCGACGGGGCGGGGCCTCGCTGGCGAGGCGCTGCTCTGGGCGTCGCAGTCCCTCTCCGTAGCTCAGCCCGGCGTGCCTTCTCTCCCAGGAGCCTCTGCGCAGCGGCAGCATTTCCGGAAGGGGCGGGTTGGCGGGTGGACTGGCCGTGCGTGGCGGAAGTGGGCGGCTGCGGTTCTAGCGGAGCAGCGCTGCTGGAGGCACCTGGCCGAACTGGAGGGCGCGGCGGAGAGGAGCTCAGGCGGCCCCCGCGGCCCGAGCGAGCGGGCTGCTGGGGGGTCTGCGGGGGCCGCGGCGACGTCGGCGGAGCGCGGTGGCGATGGGGCGCCGAGCCGGGCTGGGGCGGGGGCTTCGGCCATGTTCGCGGGGCTGCAGGACCTGGGTGTGGCCAACGGCGAGGACCTGAAGGAGACCCTTACCAATTGCACCGAACCGCTCAAGGCCATCGAGCAGTTTCAGGTGGGACGGGGCGCGGAGGCCGGGCGGTCAGCGCGGGATCCCGGCAGGAGGGCGGGGTCGCGTGGGTAGCGGGCAGATTTCCCTGACTCTGATCGCTGCGTCTGTCCCCCGGGAAGAAGGGACCAGGT